TACACCTTGCTGTATGACAAGGATCCAGAGCAGAATTGCAGTGCAGGTGGGTGAGCCTTGGGAGATGTGGGTGGGAGAAGGAAATGCAGCATGAAAGGTGCAGTACAGAGGGGAAAGAGAACTTGTAGCTCTGCTGGTACCGTCTTGTACTTAGCAACCCTGATGTGAGAAGAATCCCTTAAACGTATATCCCAGTGCTCCAGCAGGGTTAGATCAGTTCTGTAGAAGGGTGCTGGTGAGTGGAAAGACAGAAGAAAGGAATACTTCTGAAAAAATACTTCTGAGTAACTGTTCATAAGGTTTAATAGCATTATAATCCTGTAATACTTCTTTTTTAGTGTCAGATTCAATGAAGGGTAATACATTTCAACACTATTTATTCAGGAAGGGGGAAACCCCCAAGTCTTCCACCTACCCTGTAAATGCTCTAGGCAAAAGCATGCTTTATTTTGTGGGCTCATCCAGGTTCAGGCACATGCCTGGCTGTGCAGCACTGTTAGGTCCATGGCTGGAATGTCCTGCTACCCTGGCTGCAACTGCAGAGCTTCTTTATGCTGTCTGCCCAGTTCAGTCCCCAGCTCCTGCCCTGTGCAGCAGCTCCTCGCCCAACCGTGACACTGCAAGTGTTTGTAGGACTATGCTGAAGACTCGATGACTTAAAAAGCTCAGATTTAAAATAACTTTTTAAAAAAGGAAAGGGGAAGGCCTTTTTGGTCTGGATCAGTCAGAACTCTACTTGCAATGAAGCCCAATGAACAGCTGTATTTTTACAACTGAAGGGATGGCATATTTTTTTAGGATCAGGAAGGAAGGTGCAAAGGAAGAAACTTCCCAGACTGCCTTCATCACCAGAACCACTCTGCTGTGAAATTTCAGTATAGGATGCAGTTTGCATACAGAAAAGCAGAGACTTCAGATAGTTTTAATAGCACCTGTACCTTCAGAGTCAGGGAGCATCTGATGAGAATTTCTCAGACTCCTAATAGCAAAACTTTTGACATACGCATCTAAATTCTGCCTTATTTCTTTTCTTCTATGTAATCCTAAGTGTTTTTTACTCCGGGATCTCCAGAGTCTCTATGACAAGAATAATACAATTAAACTAATCATCTAACTCGTGGCTCATGTGGCATGATTTGGCTTTTCGGCATCTCCGTTACCATTGCTGTTGGTCTTTTACAACAAGATCTCCTCTTTGTGTTACATCAACATACACGATTCATGGACTTCTTCTTATCCTTGTGTACACGTTTTATCCTTCAGCTGTAAAATCTTCACTTAGGGCAAAGGACTGGATAAACGATGTAGGTAGTACAGTGAAAAGTCCTACTGTCTAACTTAATAATGAAGTTTAATGAAGGACTCGTTGGCTTTTTGGAGATGGTGGGAAGAAGGAATGACTTCAAGACACTGTAAAAATAAAAGAATAGCACAAGTGACCAGGCTCCTTGTAGTGGGAAGTTGTTTCTTTTCATCTCAATGAATATGTGTAGCATTTATAATGATTAATAGAATGTAGATAAGCTCTCTGAGGTGAAAAATCTGAGGTGAAAAATACACTGCTTTATTGTTAAGTAGTACATGACCTATAAAGCAAATAGTGTAAATCTTAAACATCATTTTCCTGCTGAATGTTTCAAAGAAGAAGAGCAATAGCTTTTGTAAAGATTTTTCCATAAATGCTCTGAAACGTTATTGTTGAAATTGTGTGGTTTTTTCTAAGTAGTTTATTAATTGGTAAAATGTACTACCTTATGAATATACTTGTAATATATGTAATATATGTGCTTTTGAATATAAATAAGTTCTTTTTCCTGGAAATGTTACTTTATCTTACATTATTTCTGAAATCAGTCTGTGATACTTGACTATGCTTATTCCTCCTTGCTAGATACATATTTGGGTCCTTTTTTCAAATGAAGGAACTGCTACAAGGTGCCAGTAGATTAGTAAATTCCCAATTGTGAGCATTTGTTGAACTTGCTTTATAAATCAACTCCTCATCTTTTATTGTCAGAAATAGTTAATGTTGAAGTCTGTTTTCAGAAGTTTCAGTCTTTCTGAGCAGAATTATTCCCCATGAGTTTCATGTCTTAGCTCATTTGAAGCAGACAGATTTCTGTAGCTAGGGTCATTATTTTGGAGTTATGTTTTCAGCAGAGGGCGGAGGGCAGAACAGGGACTGATGCAAATCCATGTGTCTCTGTGGGGAGCTGTTGGAGCCCTAATCCTCCTCCATTTCTGCTGGTAGACACAGGAGGAAGAAATCTAGATGAGGCTTTTGTGGAAGTGGTTGCCTGCAGTACACTACACTCCATGACTCAGAAGGATTTGAAAATATTGGTGTTATAGTGTTTGTAAGACTGTGCTGTCTGTCACTGGGATGCAGGCTCTTCACACCAATAGCCCAGCCTTTTTAAGCCATCAGAGGCAAGAACATGGGTTTTGTCCTACTGCCTTAAGGGGTAGGTAGCCTCTCACTCCACTGAGCTGATAGACTGCTTCTGCCAGTGAGATAATGCTTGGCTGCTGTCCCAGGACAGAACTCTACAGCCAGCCGATCCTAGTCTCTTTTCTTCACCACTTCACTTCTGATTGTTTGGGTTTACTAGTGTGGATTTCACAGAGAAACCATGTCTGTCCGCATCCCTTAGCCCCCACGGGAATCTTGACTGGGAGGGACCTCAGGAGGTCACATGGTCCAGGCCCTCACTCAGAGCAGGACTGTTCCAAAGAGTAGGTGAAGTCAGCCCCAGAAAGAGCTTTCGAGGCTTGCCTGGTTGAGCTTCCAAAGCCTCCCAGGACCTGTTCCAGTTCTGTACCACCCACCTCCTGGAAGTGTTTTTCTTACCTCTCACCTGACTCTTCCTGGTTGCAAGCTGTGGCCCTCGTTCCTTCTTGTATCAACTGGAATTGCCAGGACAAATTTTGCTCTCTTGTCTTTTGTAAGTACCCTTCAAGTAAATGTACTTCTCCCTTAGATCCATAGTTTCCAGCAGAGGCTTCTGTATTCCACAGGGGACTGCACTCCATAGACAGTGTCTATAAGCCCAGACAAAAGTGCAATCCCTAATTTCAGGCAAGGCATCCCTGCAGGGCTCCTTCTGGTGTCTTATGCTTCTCTCTTTCTGCAGAGCTGCTCACTACCTTTGGTGTTCTCCTCATCCCTCACCTTTCGCCTGGCTTCTCAGGGTGTGTAGGGGGGCAGCTGGTTCATTTTAAGGGAGTTTTAGCTCAAACCACCCTAAAGATTGACTTGTTGTCTAGGGCACACCAGTGAGGAAGCTGGGATTTTGTACTCATGCAAGGGGTAAACATAGCCGAGTCCTTAGCAAAATCTTGGTGGTTTATGTTCAAAATCCATTTGCTTGCCTTCCTTCTATCTTATCTCCATGTTATGGACCAGAAAATACCCAAAGCTGGGTAAGAAAAGCTTTAAACCCTGTCGTATCTGACTAACAGTAATTTATCCTGGGGAAGTTTTCCATCTCTCAGGCAGTACAGAATTTGTTAAATTTTATGGCATAACTTGTTCATATTTATTGATTTAAATGCTATTGTTCTCATACAAATTTATCTCTGATTTTAACTTCATAGACTTTAGTGAGGTTATACAATGGATCTTTCTTCCCATACTTTGTTTCAAAACACTGGAAAAAAAGTTCCTTGGACTCTGTTTGCATTACATCAGCTTTCTCATAGAAAAGATTTTATTTTTTTTTTCTAGCATCCTGGATCAATCTAAAGCCTAGGACAAATATAGGACTCATTAAATGCCATTTATCTGAGAAACAGAATTTGATTGCACCATGATGTTATGTGGCTGAATATATATCTTTTTAGCAGCTAGGACACAGGACCAGGATTCAGGAAGCCATTTGGCAAACACAGAATTAAGCACTTAGCAATTCTGTGCCTCATATTTTCCATCTGTAAAATGGGAACAGTTATACTTCTTTCTTTCAATAGAATTTCTGATTTAATGATCTATGATTATCATTACTACTGTTCAGAGTAGCATCAACTCTGTTCTGAATTGACTATAATTAGAATGTTTAGATGAATGAAAGCAATTACAGCGCCTGTATGCCACAAACAGTTAAGCCCATTATTAATTTAATGTCTGTGAGTAATTGCAGTTACTTCAGTGCTCACATGAGTAAAATTCAGGACATTTGAAGTGTTTGCAGGACTACAAGTGGAACACTCTAAGAAACCCTAGTTCTTAAATAGAAATAAATGATAGTAGATGTCTCAAAAATATCCAGGAAATTTATTTTAACTGTATGCTATGGCATATTGTGCAATGAGTCTTAATTTGGTTCACAAAACTTGATGTTACAGCCATTGATGATAAATATTGGCTTTCTTATCAATCAGTATGTTTTTGCAGAAAAGTAATCCTTCTTTAAATTCTATGTACAGTTCAAAAGCTTATTGTTAAATACATTTGATAATAAGAAGCCTGACTCATGGCAGGCTGCACTGTGAATGACTGATTACCAGGGATATCGAACAGACCTGTTTCCATTCCACTGCCAGAACAGCTAACTTTAGACCTTTTTTAAGAAAGGAATCATTTCACCAAAAAAATAGTTTATGTTTTCACATTAGAAGGGTTTTGTTTTCTATATGATGATAGCTAGTTATTCAACTTTACCAAGGATAGGGAGAAAGTCACCCAAATATATGTTGAAAGAAATTCTCCAGTAGTGATGGAAAAGCACAGGACTGTGCAAATGTGCCAGGTCACAAGAAGCAAGTTCTGGACAGCTGCAGTTGAGATGCTGAGAAGCAGTGAAACCCAGGGCAAGCTGGGGTGGGGACTGGCTGGTGACCGCAGGCTGAGATCAGATGCCCCTTGGCTCACTTCTGGAACAGGAAAAAAGCCACACAGATACACACACAGCTTGTTGCAATCTGACAGTGGAGGTGTTTAGTTTTTGGGTACCATTTTGTTTTCCATCCTTCAGTTACCCTTACTTTTCTTCTTTATACAGTTGATGGTTTGGACAAGGCTTCAATTGCTAACTCAGAAGGACCAGCCCCAGGATCCCAAACTCCCCCCTTCAAGAGGAAGGGCAAACTCTCCAACATTGGCAAAATCTTTAAACCTTGGAAATGGCGGAAGAAGAAGACAAGTGACAAATTCAGGGAAACATCAGCAGGTATGTCTATGACCCTTTGGTGGCAAATCGTAGGAAATGCTATGATGGTTTTGCAGAGCTCTTTGAGCTTGTTAGGTGGCAGGGATTATTTAGGCATGACATTTTACATGTAGAAGAACAGTTTGATCCTTGGCAGTCTTACAAGAATGACACATTAATTCTTATTAATACCAAGGCAAAATATATGTTCCTGTTTCTTTTACAGAAGGAGGAAATTAAGCACAAAGAAATTAAGATCAGCTTTTTCAAAAATGCCTCCTTAGTTACTTGCTAGTACTTAATTTGCTGGTCTTGTTTATGATGATGTGATCCCTCAAAATAGCAATTTGCTTTTAAACTGTGTGTGAGGTCACTTATGATTGTGTATGTGCTTCATGTGAGGCTGGAATTTAAAATGAAAAGTAGTTTGGATTGCATTCATCCTACCTCAGATGGTAATTTCAGGGAGGAAAAAATTAGTTTTCCCTGTGTTTCTTGAGGAAATAGACCAGTGGAGGCTGAGATGACACGTTTACGTGGCAAGTTGCCCCTTGTTGCGTGCTTACTGACACAGGAGAAGAAACTTGCTTATTTGACTTGAGAGAGAAATGGGAAGACATCCATACAAAATAAAAATTCTACAGGATATCCTCTTCCTCAGACTACTCCATCAGAGATGTATTTACATTACCAAATGGGGGCTGTGTGTATGTGTATGTGCATCTTATATGCAGGAAGCCCATTTCCTGGCCTGAGACTGTGGGAGAGAGGATGATGATCGTCATTTATTGCCTGTTCTCTTAACAGGGCTACAACTTGATAAGTCTGTATGCAGCTGAAGAATGAGTTTTCTTCTAAGACAGAATGTGGGCTGTTGGAAAGAACTCTTATAGCTTTCTCTGGGTTTTCAATAGGCTTTTTAAAATAGGTCCTTGCTAAAGCCTTGCCAGGCCATGTACCTTAGAGTGCTTTTTGTCTTATGAGCAACTGAAAGATGTTCATAAACAGCAAATACCACAAAAATAAAAAAAATAATGGAAGTTTAGATGTTAGATGTTAGTATCTGTGCTGATGTGGGAACAATGGTTCGAATTTTTTCCTTTATCAACATATTTTCCATGCTCCATCTCAGAAAGTCTGTTCTCTGGGCACTGGTTGTATGCTTTTTGCCTAGAGGGCTTTCAAAATTAAGTAAAACTAAACAGAAAATGGTATCATCTCAAGGGTTTCTCTTCTCTGCAATGTTTTGCTGTGAAGGAAAGGAAAGCAGGAGTTTGTGTCTTGGCACAAAGTAGATGCCACTTCAAAGCTTCGCTGTAAGAGTATATGCAGACAGGGAGCAGAAGGCAATTTTAGCTATTACTAGGTCAGAGAAAAATTAATAAGTGGAATTATCTCAAGCTTCTCTTAGAAGAACAAAACTAAATACTGGAAAATATCCAGAATCTCACAGTATTCTTTGAGTCAGAGAACGGGTTTTAAGACTGCCTGAGGTTTGTAGCTGCTGAGCATCACTAAGCAGACTCTTTTGGGGGGATGGGAAGGAAGGGAAGGAAATGTTTGAATGATGGTTGCTGGGTGTGCAGATGGTACAATACACTTAACTGTATAAATGTGACATATATTGCCTAATCTAAAGTCTGTAATCATCAATGAATTATAACGATGAGTCCATGCTGGCTAAATAGCACCCAGTATAAGTTCCTAAGTTGACAGGCTACTCATTCCTCTTATACAGGAGCACATACTTTTGGCGACTTTGATTTAAATTAAAATTCTGCCTTTTTCTTCGTAGGAATTAAAATTATGATACTCATAGTGAATACTAACATAATTTCTAATTTATTTTTTTTTCCATGGGCCAAATAATGTTTAAAATAAATTACCTTTTCAAGCTGAATTAATTGAGCTTAATCAGTTTAAATAAAAATACCACTCATGACTAGCATTTTAGATGATGGAGGACTGGGGCTTAAGCTTCTTATCTGTTCACAAATTTTCTAATCTGTGAAATGGAGATAGTTATGTCTCAGGGATGTTATGAAACCTACGTAATTTATAAAATGCTTTGAGGTCTTTCAGTAAAAGTATAAGGAGTTCATGTCTTTTAATGCCGATTGACATTTTCCTTGATAATTAATTCAATACAGTTGTTAATTCAGTGTTGTAGAACCAAAAAAAAAAATCCTGAAAACTAGAGAGACACATTGATGGGGAGGGTGTCTGATTCGATGTTCTTAAGCTTCATGGAAGAAGAATTATTGTTTTCAATAGTCATTCAACTGTCCCACAAATAGGTATATGAGAGATAACTTCGTTGTCACCAAAAAACAATTCTAAAAAGGAAACAGAGAGAAAAAATAGTAGTAATTAAATTATACTTGTAATGCTGAAAGAATAATAAAAGAATTTTTATATTACCAGCAAGAAAACAAGTGTAAAGTATATGCATAAAGTGGTCCTCCTTGGGGGCTCTGTCTAGGGAGATTTCATTCTGCTTGGGGATACATCTGCTTTCTAGAAAGACTAAGACACTCCATCCATACCTGCCCATGTAGTCATCTGTCTTCATGACTTCCAATCTCTTTTAAAAGAGTCTTTGTGGGACTGAGCGTTCCCTGAAATGAAAAAAACTCTTTGCAAGACTAGGGCATGCTCCTGTGCCAATGTGTGACACACAGTTGCAAAGCATAAACCTTAAAAAATAGTGGGGAAAAACTGGAAGAACTTGTGAGTAATTTAGGTTTGGGACCCAAGGCAGTCTAACCTGATCAGAGTTCCTGCTACCACACTCTCCCCAAGTAGACTGGCTTATACTGCAAAAGTTTATAGCCACACTCATGGGCTCCTTTATATTGTCAAATGCAGTTTGAATGCGGCAGAGGTTTGACCTTTAATGGGCAGATCTCACAAAGTACCTGAGTATATAGACACAGACTTAATGCCAACTTACATGTTCTTGAGCCAGTACTGTTTGCATTTGTGAGCTCTTGATCTCACAGGCATGAGTAGCTTGAACTGGGCTGGTCAAAATGTTTACTGCCTCCAGCTCTTCTGCCAGGAATTGGTGCTATTTTGACACAGAAATGTTGAGCAGTTGCTGCATCCCTGAACTTTGTAGTGTGAAAAATAAACCTGGTGCTATAAATTTGGGAAGTGCAGAATCTGAGTAACTTTTTACAAGTGCATGTAATGGTAGGACAAGGGTGATGACTTTAAACTGAAAGGCAGGTTTAGATTAGATATTAGGAAGAAAATCTTTGCTGTGAGGGTGATGAGGTGCTGAAACAGATTGCCCAAAGAAGTTGTGAATACCCCATTCCTGCAGCTGTTCAAGGCCAGGTTGGATGGGGCTCTGAGCAGCCTGGTCTAGTGGAAGGTGGCCTTCCCCATGGTAGGAGGATTGGAACTAGGTTCTTTCCAACCCAAACGATTCTGTGATTCTGTTCAAGCATCCCCTTCCCTGGCAGAGAAGGGGAGTGGGAAGCTGCGAGCAGGGATGCCTTCGGGTGTGCAAGGTCAACCAGCCTGGTTGTGTCAGCAGCCTGAGTTACCTGCTGCTGGGAAAGATGTTTTGCCATGCGTGGAGGGTAGCTTTCTTAGAAGACCTGAACTGCCTCTCTCCTTGCTTTCTCAAGAGCCGTCACTTCACTGTATGGCTGATTCACTCCAACTGGGCTGGCCCAAATGAGATTGATAATACTTCTTGCAGTATTTAATCTGCATACAGCAATTAGACTGACCCTAGAGAGTGTTTGAATTAGTTGATGAGATAAATAACCCTATCCCACAGCATTAATAGGATGAAGTCCAGCACGGCTGAAGCTTTGCCACATGCCCTCAGCTTGAGCTGCAAACGTCACTTGGATTTTGATGTCCAAATGTAAACAGAATCAGGATGGAAGACTAGCTTTTCCTAACAGCGAAGATGAGATTTTACAAGTGATGCTCACATTTTATGGGCCATGCACCATGGTCCCATGGATCTTAACAATGATCTCCCAGATCACTATATTGGTTTGGGACTGGGCTGCAGTGTGGAGCTATTCTATTTTGACATCTATAAATTCTTTTCCCTGTAAAACTATTTAGCATTTTTTCCCATGGGAAATAAACATAATAATTAAAATGCTTCATGTCACAGTCTTGTGTGTGTGTGTGTGTTGTATGCTGCTTTTTCTTTTTTAACCTAAAAACAGGATGCTGCATTTTTTTCCATGAAAGCCCACCAGTATTGATGAGGATGTTATTTCCTTTTAGAACATAACTTTCTAACTTCTGTTGTTTTTCTTTCCTTTAAAACAGTTTGCATGTCACAAAGGCTACTCAGAGCTGCTTGCTCTGAGCAGGATTTGTCTCTCCCAACTCAAAAGTTCTACAAAGCAGATGGAGGTATCTCTAGCTGAGCTGGTCTGCCCAGTCAGTGGGAAAGAGGTGCTTTTACATGTTAAATGGCTATTTTAGGATTAGTTCAATTTCAGTCTGGAAATACCTTTTTCCATTGACTGTAAAAAAAGCCTCAAGGAGCCTTGCTCAGTTGAAGATATTGGATCATACGAGTCTCCACTTTCTGTGCCTGAAATTGTGGGATGATATTTTCAGAGATCATCCATGAAAACCCAGGCCACTTCTCCTACAGAATCAGAGGAAACAGATTTCTCAGGGTTTCTATAAAATAAAAATATTTTCCTAATTTTTTTTCACAAGCATCAGCAGTATGAGAATAAATCTGTTCTTAACTGTGCTTTTTCTTTAGTGTTGGAAAGGAAGATTTCGACAAGACAAAGCAGAGAGGAGCTGATAAGAAGGGGAGTGCTGAAGGAAATGCCTGAGCAAGGTGATATGATAACAGATTAACTAGAATTTAGCTACTAAGCACTAAACACGTATGATAAAGCCACTATTGCATTGTTTCCATGTAGTATAAATAGGTATGAGGAGACAAACTGAGGAGTGTGAGAGGTGATTTGGGCCAGCTGACAAAGAACTACAGCAGCTGACTTCTGTCATATCCTGAAGTATTTTAATGCTCCCTGTGAATAATGTGACTTTTGTGGTTCCTAGTTTGCCAGAATTCTTTTGAAGTGATGATAAACCTATTTTTTGAGTCAAAGTCTGCTGTCTAAAGCCACTGAAATATAAAATGAGAAATGTTGGCTGAAAAATTAGAGTCTTTGGGACCCCAAACAAATCAGTATGATTCATTTTAATCCACTTCAGGTATCAAAAAGTACCAGTGCTGGGATCATATGGATCCCACCACTATCACACAGACCACATTCACAAATGGCACAAGCATAAAACCATGGGGAAAACATCACTTGTATCAAAATGCTCTAAGTTTAGTAACCAGTATTAGACAGAATCTGTATTTTGAAAAACTTGAGTAAGCCAAGGTTAATACCTCTGTGCTACATCCGATTGTGTTTCTAGTGGTATTCTTTCCAATATTCTTCATCTTCTATAAATCTAGATTAAATAAAAGTCAAGTGAGTAAAATAATCTTCTGTAGCTTAAAATTAAACCATTTGTCATTTTATCAAGGAGTCTAAGAACTCCATGTTTTCCCAAAATATTTTTCTCCTAGAAATTCTGTTATTCTGTCTGATCTGAAGAATCAGGAAAGTATCAATGTGTATGGTTTGTATTGTGCACATAGATACTTAGAAGTAAAGGGCTTGTTTGTTGACATGTGGCATCACTTGCCTGTACAGTGTTTGGCTAATTACCAGACTATGACATTCAGCATAGCTGGCTTCTGCACTTGTCTCTGCTGTCTTTGTCTTAAAACAAGACATGTAAACTCTCCATACCTCAATTTGTCCATCTGAGAATTTGTTGTGTTTTTTGCTACATACTTTACTGGGGAGCTGCGTGACTTTGTCCCTTGAAGGTTGTAAATTGCATTTATTGGGAATAAATTGCAAGGTTGTAAATTGCATTTCACTTAGTGAAATGTGTTAACTTCTCAGATCGGTTACAGTCTGAACTTAAATCCTATAATTTGTGCCAAAAGTATGAGTACTTTTGTCACAGGTGTCCTTGGCTCTCTCTTCCATCCTTAAAAGGGGATGGGACTCTGGATTTCCTTACAGAGATTGACCAAAGCGAGAAAAGGATGTAAAGATGACAATTTTATCCTCTTCCTCTTATATCGGTCTGATCTGTGTTCCCTTCATTACATTGTGCTTCATGTCTGATGAAAATTATAATTTTTAAGGACCATTTTGAAAGAATATGGGATTGCTTTTAAGGTGCTAAAAATGGAGGGTTAGGAAAGAAGGTGGTTGAGAAGTGTGAAGGTAGTTAGAAGTAATGACTATGGAGATGAAAACTAAATGAGGAAATTACATGGAGTCTTGAAATGTGAGAGGTAAGAAATGTGAAGAAGTGACAGTGTGTCACATGGGATGAAAAAGAAGAATTGGAAAGTGGCAAGTGCCACTTGGAGGCAGGAGGTGTTTGCAGAACCAAAACATGAATAAGAGGTGGCAGTGTCACATGTGGAGACAGAGAGGAGAGAGTGAATTTAAGAATATTTGGAAGAGAGAAGCTGAAGAAACTGAATGTTGCAGTAAGGTAAGTGCAACTGTCAGATCTAGTGAAAGAGAAGGTTAGGAAGGAAGAACTTACCTTTTACACATCTGGTTGCTGTTAGTGTGTGGATTACAGTGAAACAATCATCTTAACCCATGGAGCACCCAAGGTGGTAGGAAAGGGGATGCATAATTTTGTTCAAACCAGGGAAGTGCCAAACATCCAAGTCTGATAAGACCCAGCAAGGAAGAGGAGTGGAATCACCACAGTTAGTGAAGAATCAATGGAGGAATCAGAAGAGATGCCCTGTAGATTTGTGTAATTTTTGGATTGACAGCAAGAAAATCCTGTAGAAAGAAATTACCAGAGAAGAAAATCAGCAGCAACTTCAAAATGCATGGAACAGAGAAACCTATAAGCCAGCAAGGGTATGTATGTAGCACTTTTCAGGAATATAAAGACAAATAGGGAAGAGAAAGAACTTTTTTTCAGGATTAAAAAAAACCCTCAAACTGAGGTAGTCTGGGTAAGTGAGTAAAGTATCATCAAGGAAAGAACTTAACTTGCAGAATTTAATAATGGTATGATATGTGATACAGAAAGACTTCACCTGGATTCTTAAGAGTGGATAATGTCTTTGTGAACTATTTTGTTAATTAACTGGGCATATACGTTCTGAGAACTTCTGTCTGAATTCCTGGCTGATTTACCTACTGGGATGCACCATGGTAGTCCTGCAAATCTGCCCCTAATTGTCCATTTTTGGGACATGTTGGAAGGGAGAGAACAGGATGCTTATGTGTACAGCCATGAAACTGTACCTGAAAACTGACATGGACTTGCAAGCCCATTACTGCAGAGATGTCCACCCAAAGAACATGGAAGCTTATAGAGTTTCTTTACAGTAACTTTTTAGAGCAGATCTACAGCCTTTCACATTTCAGTAAGTCTTTCTGCTTTGCTTCCACGGGATCTTGAAAGCAGAGGTATGCCATGTGTTTTCAGTGGGTGCTAAGTAAGCAGTTAGGCAATAGCTTTTTAATTTTCATTTCAGATGGTGATGTAACAGTAAATTTTGAAACTTCAAATGGACACACTATAGCCATTGGTGAAGAAACCATACAGGAAGAAAATGTGGTAAAAGCTGGTGGAAATAATGGTACTTTATCAGAGAAAACAACATCATTGGAAGGAAAAAAAGAAGATCAAAAAGGTAAATTAATGCATTCTTCATAGATTGGTTTTTTTGGGGGGGCTACTTTAAATATTAATGTGTTCTTCATTAGCACCAATACATGCTGTGAGTTCTGTTCTATCTCAAGGATGCCAGCAGAATCTGCTGAGAGAATAAGACTTGGTAGGCGTGTCTTTTACTGTGCCTATAGCAAGGTCATAAAGAGAAGCATGGTCTGAGCATGAAAATGCATGCAGGGATGTTTGATTTCTAAATTCAGTGTGAGCCTTTCCTTGTAGCCATGGGTAAGCTTTGATTTCAAATTTTCCTCTTATGAAAGAACACACTAAGTGAATATACATCACCTTGCAATATCATTGGAGAAGTGGCTCATGGGTTGAACGTTCAAAGGTGTTTAACCCATTTGAAAACCATGTATAATTTTGTAAGTAACTTCTGCAACTCGTTCCTGTTGGTTTTCATTGAATCTTAAACACCTGCAGTCCAGCAGAAACATTCAAGGGGCTATATCACTACCTCAGACTGAACCTAGGCTATTTATGGAAAATGTATTTTATAACTACAGGGTTTTCTATGGATGAATTGTAGTAAATACTGCTAAATATTTAGAAGTCCCAGGGTCCATGTTAATTTTGTTACCTTTACTCAGATCTACTTTGGTAACAAGAGTTTGACTCATAAAGGAAATGTAAAGATAAGTGTGGAATCACAGTTTTTGGACCACTTTTATTTTCTTTCTCTAACATCTTGAATAATGCACCACTTATTTTCCCTGTCAAAAAGTGTTTTTAAATACTATTCCATTTATTGGATTTTCCTCGAGGAAAGAACAAGGATTCAAAAGATCAAGACCTTCTTGGCTGGCTGTTAGACTGAGCAGCCTTTCCAATGTCTTCTGTTAAACTCTACCTAGTGATGAATGAGTCTCTGGAGGTTGAGAGGATCGGTTAGGCTAACACAGAAATTTGAATTCCTCTCTGAGCTACGTAAATCACTTGACTATGTAAAAAGTGGCTAGATGTCCAAGGAGAACAGCCTTTCTTATGAGATTTCTCCTACTTCCTGTCTCCCAAAAAGACAGAAATACAAGATTAGCCTTTGTCATGACATTTAAATACATCTATCTTTTGGTGCCGACTAGAACCAGATGTGTATTGGGTCAGGGAAAAGAGTTATAAAAGCCATGGAAAACTCCTTTAAAATGGTTCAATTTAACTTTGAGGTTAGATCAGACCACTTCTTATTTTATGCAACATTAAATACAGCCTTTTGGAAATGATCGGTTTTGGAAGTTTTTCGAAGGTACAATTTATTTGAGAAATACACGTTTTTAACTGTGTTGAAATCCCCCGTAACTGACTTTGCAGAATGCAGAACTCCAATGAAGCAGGAAAGGTTCAATATCTATTTCAAATTAGACTCTGCACTCCTTATACATTGTGTTGACCTTACAGAGAGAAATTAAAAATGATTGCTGTACAGGATTAAACTCAATACAGAAGACTGTGTAGCAATCACTCCAGTCCCTCTCAGAAAATGAAGAATATATGGAGGAGGGAGAAGGAAAACAACAAATGAGCCAACCTGGTATTCTAGGCTTCATAGAATGTCAATCTGAGCATACAGAAGATGCAAAACACTTCAAGTATATTTTCATGTTTAAGGAGTAATTCCACACATCAGAAACCGTGTTACACTGTGGAGACCCAGTACAACTCAGCAGGTAGTCATTGTGAATACACTTCAGTTATTCTTTACTTTATAGCACATTAAGCAAGAAGGTGAGCCAGCCTGTTAAACTCAGTGTAAGACCCACTCCATGTCACAGATATGTCTCACCTGCAGATTAGTCCTGGGTGATTTTTTTATGGTAGATGCAGTAGGTATGCATTATACACACACCCAATGGCAGGTACAGGTTTGCTTATGCTCACAGAGCATCAAAATCAGAGCTGAAACACACATACCTAACTCACTGTCTTCTGCTAAGACCATAAAACATGCTTGTGCTTCAGATCACAACCCTCCATCATGAGAACTGAGATAGGAGTGAATACTAGCTGACAATCAGGAGTAGTAGCTGCAAGGACTTCATCTTTAGTAAGCCTAATGTTAGGCTTCTTAAAGTCATCAACTCTAATTTGTAAATCTTGAAGTAAGATATATACACGTTTGTAAGACCTGAAAAGAGGATTAATTCCTGCCATTTAGTAGCATACTGTGCTGCTGTTCCAACTCTGACTGAATCAAAGGGTTCCAAAAATTCATCTCAGCCCCTGAAATTTAGGAAGTTATTTTATAATGGTCTTATGAAATGATGGTGCTTTTTACTTGCTCTCTTGTTCAGGTGGGTCTTGAAAATGGCCTTCTGCTATATATGATGACTGCTGGAGCCAGAATCTTAAAAAGAACAAGCAATATAGGCAAATTGTGATAATATGGTGAGAATTGGCAGCAACATGCTGTACAATGTGGAATATGTTAGGAATTAAAAGAAGTTAAAGGAACAAAGTTATTTCAGCATGAACTATGGGAATACAGTATCAACAGGGCAAACAATAGGCTCAGCCATGCAATATAAAAATGAGTTAAGCAGAAGCAAGTAAAGAAGACAACCTCTGAAAGCTGTTCCCTCTGCTGCTAGGCAGTTCTGTAAACTGTGTACCCATCTGCTGCCTGTCAGCTCACAGGTGCCTTTTGTATTTGGTGAAAAATTCCCTTTGGCAATTTAATAGTGTAACTGTTACTATTTATAGTAATGATGACAGTCATCCAAGGAGGGTGTTTAAAAGAAATTTTTTCCTTTATTGCAGAATGATAAGAAACTAGTGACAGTTTTATATAAAACAGGTAATTGGTTGGTAAAGCTTTGTCAATGAGAAATCAGAGAATTTTTTTTCTGAGATCATTTATTCACATTATGTTTGTGCTAGGCTGACTTCTGAATTCTTTTGTTTTGACTAAGAAAAATTGCTAGCATCTTTTGCAGAAAATAAAGAGCTAAACTGTAGCTATTATCTGTGAGTCTTGCAAGGGATACAGAGCAGCAAGTAGACAGGTAGCATATCAAAGAACACCCTGGTTGTCTGGGCAGCAGTCTGAACTGTACCACTGTGTCAGGGCTCCTGACCCATGGCACCAGTCTGCAGCAGCCCCAGCAGTCCCCAGAGCTCCAGGTTCCAGGTGTGATATAAGCATCACAAAGGGGATCCAAGGAGTCTCTTTGCCTCCTGCCCCCTACAGCAGTGTTGGAGAAGACCAAAAGCCACATCAGTAGAATAGGTGTCAAAATATTCAATGTTTGCCTCCCTTGGTATAGGGGCATAGCACGGTGATGCAGCATGCTCCTTGTAAAGCCTCCTGGCACTATGTCAGAGCTGCTTTTCTCCTTTCTGCCCTCCCAAGGTGTCTCTGGAACACAGACGTACTAGAGAACCCTGGATTTGTAGCTGAGTTCAGTTTTTTAACTTGTGTCTTACTCATTTTTATCACAGCAAGCTAGCTCTTTTAACAATTCTGGTAGATGCTTCCACACTGCATTGTTAACTTGGGCTTGAAGAAGTGAAAGGTTCAGTAACCATTAGCAAGATGGTTGGAAAAAAGTAGTAAGTTTTGTTTTGCATACCATCAGTCAGGTGTATTAGGTACTGCTTTGCTAAATAATTGCATTTCAGGAAGCCAGAGCTGTGTTGCAGGTGTTGTGGGTGACATGGAGCATAAGCTTCTGGAATGTTCTGGACTGTTTATAGCAAATTGATCCCCTCAGGTTTTCTCATGTCTTTAAGGGAAGGAAACAGTTTGTAGTCCTGTTTCCAAATGAATTAGTGGGCTACCTGCACATAATTTTTTTCCCCACAGGAGAACTCTCATGAGAGCTGGCAAATGTTCCAGTATGTTGGGCTCAGAGGTTCCTTTCTCTATATTTTTGTTTGCTCTCCTTAAATCTTAAACTTTTCTTTTTCTTGTGGGTAACCAAAAAAGAAGGTTGGAGGTACAAACTCTGGTCTTATGAGCATGTATCATTGCTGACTAACACTTTAGTTTGTCTACCAAGGAATGGTCTTGAAAGTCAAATTTTTTAGATTCTTTTTCTCAGAGGTCTTTTCTTTTTTTCCCCAAAGGAGACCAAACTTGTTGAATTTAAGATAGTAACCCTTATCTCCCAGGGTCTCAGACAAGAGCCTGCTTTGTCTCAGATTAATCCTGCAAACCAGTCACTGTGAGAGATGAGGCAGACTTTCCTCCCTCGTGTGCCTAGCTGGCTTCCTACACTCCTGAGCTCTGTAGATCATTGATATAAGCAGCATACATAAAAGGTTGTAGGGTTTTTTGCCCGACTCCCTAAGAATCTCTCACTCCAGCAGAGTTACTTGCTGGCAAAAACCAGTTCTTCTAAGAATAGTATATCTTCGATTCATCACCTGAACTATGTAAATGAGGTTGAATCCAAGTCTTCTAAAAGGAAAGCTACTCTATATAAAGCTGTATTTGGGCAGAGCCTATCTGTTAAGTCAGTTGGGCTGGCTCATGCCAGTAGGCTGATGTGAAAGGCATGGGCTTTCACCCACGGAAGTTGAGTGCCAGAGGAAGCTCCTGACTTGTAAAGCAACTTTTTTTTTTTTTATAAGAAAGATATCCTTATATGCCTCCAGAATTAAGACTATATACATTATGTTAATGAACTAACTATTCAATTATTTGGGCATATCTTTACAGAAAGTATAAGGGAATATAGAAATATACATACCTGTCACCTTCCAAGTCTCCCATAGATCAAGAAACGATATAAGTATGCAGCTGACAGTGAATACATTTTAGGTGTTCTCTCTTTTTTTAACAGCTTACTTCTAACACATAGGTTGGGTAGTTAACACTGTAAAATGACAGTCAGTTTGGTTCTTTCCCTATTTTATTTAGAAACCAATGCAAAACACCTAAACATGGTGGCTTTAGGTCAGATGTTATACCTGTCCCTTTCTCCCCTCTCCTGTTTTCTACACTGTCTCTGTTACAAGGCCTCTTGTGCACAGTGCTGTTGAAAACAGTCAGTAAGTTCTAGAAGTTTGTAGACGTGCAGATCTACTCATCCATCTTCAAGAAAGATGAATTCAAAACTGCAGAGAGAACTGCAAACAGCATCATGAGACAGCTGTTCTTGTTCAGTCTAGCAAAACGGAGCCTGAGAGAGCCTGAGTGCATTTGATGAATGTAGCAAGCTGGTATATAGCCAGGAGAGAACATGGCTAAAGGACAATGCTGGCACAAGTAGAAAGGAGTAAACTGTGGCTTGAAATACAGTTAGACTGGAAATTAAAGGAAGCTTTCTAACAATCAGAATGGGTCTTTTCTTAAACAGAATTTTAGTAGCAGTAATAGGAACAAAAAATGGAGCTGGTTGAATCTAAGTTTATGAAAAAATTTGTCTGAGCTGACCACCTCTATCAGCACAATCAATGAGTCCAAAAAAGTGACAAAAGACACCTTGTCTTGCTCTGTGTCCTGTGTTTCTGAATGACAGCTTCCTGGGTTTTGGTGAATCAAAACACAGCTCTCTGCATAGTCTGGAAAGGAAAATGATGATTTGCAAAATTCTTACTGAGTTTCATTGTGCAGAGAGTCATCTTGTGAAAGACAACAAATCATACATTATTTCCAATTTTCATTCTACATAGTTTTGCTCCACTGAGTTCTGTTCCTCTTCCAGGAGAAGGGTGCTTTGCAGTTGATGTAGATCATATGCTTGTGCTTCAGCACTACAGGTTTGCTGTGAGGTAGCTTCATGACACTGCTCTAGCTGGAGAAACAAAAATACCAGTACTGTATGACAAAATCCTCAGGTAGAAAAGCTTTGGCCTTCTGTTCCTTACAAGTTCACAAAAGTAAAGAAAAAAGTCTTGTATTTTACAACCTAGCTTCTGAAACTGTGCCCAGGATCTTCATTGGTCCACTTGGTCCAGAGTTTGCAAAAGGTCCCACTTCTAGTTTGCAAAAATCCGATTTTCCAGTGCATATGACATCTCTCTGAAAGTCACTGAGACTTGGTGAGTCCCCACAAGAGCTGTTATATACTGAGAACTTTGTAACTCTGACCATCATTTAAGTGTTCACATGAGAATAGAGCTTTCTTAAGAGTCTGGCCCAAATCACAATTTCTGGGATCAAGAAAATCTGGTCTCCAAATGAGTCTCTTGAAAATCTGACCTTTGGAAAATTTATTCTAAACATAAACATATTATTGATCCAAATGTTTAATGAGATACTAACATTTGCTTTGCTTTCCTGATAAAAGAGTAAATTATAGGTGGGTTGCTTTTACAGCAGATGTCTTGATCAAGACAGGAGTGCAGAAATCCTCTTTGATGTGTTTTGGAGACCTTTTCTTAAAAGGTCAGTTCTTAATGAACAGATGTCTACACTGAGAAATGAAACAGCAATAAAAATACATTGCAGCTGGTACTGAGGTATCTGGGGGATTGGATTGAACAAATAGAGAGATCTGAACTGATTCAGATGCCTCCTTGTTTTGGCAAAAGAAAGAGCAGGCATGAAGACCAAGGGTCCATATTCAAGCAGAATCATGTTAGGGAGGTACAATTACAACATAATTGTGTCTGGAGCCATTTACAGACATCAGACCATCCCTGTCACTGTTCAAGATCAAGCCACTGTTGCTGTTATTAGTTATTTGTATTACTATTATTATTTGTTTCTGTGTATACCAGAAATTTATTATAGTGTCTTACATAGATGCAGGAAACCACAAAAGTTTCCAAGGGACTTGCAGTAAAAGAAAGGACACTATGGTTAGGCACTGAAAAACCAGAGGACACCAGACCAGGAAAACAAGCACAGTACTGGCACCTAAACATTGTCAACTTTGGCATCACAGTAGAGGGGAGTTTGAGGGAGGACAGTCAGTGAATATTCACAAAAGCCTGAGGGGCAAGAGAAGAAAAAGAGTGAAAAGTGTCTGCTTCAAAACTTGGCTTGTCATTGGCAAAAGCTGGTATAATGGACTGGTCAGGTAGGAACTGGAAATCCGTATCTCAAGTAAACGAGAAACAATAGTTTGGTCAAAATCACAGTGACACTGAGAAAAAAAGATGAAGCTAACAAAGATAAAAACAGTAAAGCTAATAAGATGCCAAGAGGAATGATATGGTCAAAGGCAATCGTCTTCACCACAGCTTTCATCCTGGCTATGAGCAAAAAGAAGATTCACTTGTCAAGGCCAAGACAGGGCATTACTTAATCAAGGGACGGTCAAGACTCATGAGAGCTGTAACTATCTGTAGAGACAGGATGCTGCTGTGCTGGAGTCTGCCAGTCTTCGGTACAATGTACATAACAGCATGAAAAGAACTGTCCTAAGTAAAGATGATATCCCAGTGATGGCAATGCATTTCTGTTAAAATCAATGTTATATAAATTTCCAATTTTAATCACAATTGAAGTCTGCAAGCAAGAACTTTGATGAACTGTTCTAATTTTTGTTTTCATTTGTAGTTCTTAGTTATTTCTTTAAAGAAAAATCCAAAATTATCAGGTGGTTGTCACTAAGATGTGTGTATTTGCAACTAAGTAAAGCTTTAGCCTTATATTTTGTTATATTTTTGTACTTTTTTTCCTGAATCAGAAGATAAATTCTGATATACATTATGTAATCAGTTATATAGTTTAGTGTAGATTGACTGTATTACTTTGGAATATGGTGCATAGAGTATTACTTTTTACTGGGTTATAAATCTGTTTTTCATATTTACTACTATGTCTGGACACAAAACATGGTAATGGTGTACAAGTACACAAGTTTTAAATTTTTTCATATTAGTAGGTAAAATTACAGCATTCTGGATCCATAAGTAAAAGCTATATCAAAGAATTGTTTACACTTAAAATTATTTTGGATCATCATGTCCTTCAAGATCTTCAGAATACAAAGATGTATCTTCTCTTGCCATGTTTGTTTTTAATGGAATTCAGATTTTAAAATGTCCTGCTTTTTCAGAATTAAATTAGCTTTTCAACTTCAAATGAAGGTAGGTAGAATTTCACAAGGAGACATTTTTGCTGTAAAAGAAGAGACCAAAATGTAACAAATAAGCATGTTTCTTTCTACATCCAGAGTCTTTCTCTGAAAAACTAAGAGACAGTATAAGAATCTGTGCTTGAAAGAATTTGTTTGAAAGCTGTAAAAGGTCACTGTGAAATGGTTCTTTCAAAACTCTAGCAAAAACATATTAGTCTATAACAGGCTGGAAATAAAGGAGGAAGACCCTGGACGGTTAATGTTAATTCCTTCAGTTCATGAAGAGACATGCAAGTTGCTGCTAATAATGCAGGCAATGCACTGAGTTCGTGTTAACAAGCCTTAAGCTAGAGGTTGGAAAGGCTTTGTTTCTGAGATGAAGAAATGTCTTTGTTGTCCAACACATTATTTGTTTTTCATCTACTAATCTTAAAATTAAAATGTGCTGCTTATCTCTTGGGAATCTTTTACATGGGAAGGAAGAGAGATGGGAATGTCCATTTATTTTGTCTCCTTTCTTCCCCAACCATTTTAGGTTTTAGTAACAAATAAATCGCATATGATTCTGATGGTATGCTCTTGCTTTTATAACATACCTTTTCATAAAGGTTTGGGAAGGCTATCTTGAGACTGAATGGGCACAGAATTGGTGTAATTGAATAGATAAAGATTCCCATGTGGGGACACGTAGTCTTACAGCCACAATGATTATGTTGCAAAATTTTATGTTTGACTATAAATGGCTTATCTACATTAACATTACAGCTGGCATTAGGCATGCATTTTGAAGTGAATTTCCTAGTCATCCCCACTTATCCTTCTTTGGTTTGCAGGGCACATAAACCAGGTTCCTTTTGGATGAAACTAAGCCAAAAGATGCACTCAGGAATTTTTGCTCCCACCACCACCAGTCATGCAATCTACAGAACTAGCCTGAAGACAGTAGAAAGTCAAGTCTCCTGGAATGCACATTGTGGACATTGAGTCCTGAGTGCTACCTCTTTCACTCTACAGAGCCATTCCTATTGCACAACACAATGTAGATAAAGTCCAAATTCCTGTTGACTAATGAACTGTTGATTCTTGAAAGTGCAGTCATGTAACAGTACCCAAAGAACTTGCAGGAGAGGAGAGCATTCCCATGCCAAATGATATCCTATCTGATTTAGCTTCATCTGTTTCTGAAGAGCAGAAATACCCTGAAAAAGTTACCCAAAATAAGTTGCTAACAGGAAGCAATCTGCAGCTTAGAAGAATGGGTTGATTCAGGGGAAAATTTCAGCTGCGTAGCCATATTTGAACCCATGGCTGACAGAATGGCCATGTTCACATTCAGATTCACAGGAATCTGAGTTTTATAGCCTGTTGATCTTGGAGTGGGTAGGGTTGGAAAGAAGCCAAGGAAATTTGTTAGAGGAGTAAATGGCATTTCCCATGTTTAGTTTGCAGCCAGCAGTCTGGTTTAGGATAATGGATGTAAAGATGATCCTTGGAGGTCTAGAATAAATGAGATTGAAAGAAGTTCCAGGTAAATATCTTCTGTGAGAAGGACTTGAACTGAGACAGACATTATTTTTTTTTCTGAGGTAATACTTCCTTAAGAGGCAGAAGATTAAGTCTCTCCTGATTCCCAAGAGCTCAAGCAGCAAAAGTAGTCACTGTTTTGGGGCTTGCTGTTGAATTTACGTGGTGTATGTCTGTGTCAGTTGGCTTCTGTTCACTTTCTTATCCATAGAGAGCACTACTGGTCACTGCCCAGAAATACCAACATCCCATGCTCCACCACTACCCAAGCCTAAGCCTAAATCTAAAAAAGCTCTACTGCCACCAAAAAATGCCATTGCTGCTTCCACAACCACCAGCCATAAGGGTAATGAAGCACCTCATGCTAAAAAAAAGGGAAAGGGTCCTGCTAAGCAGCCTCCTCTCCCGCCGCCCAAGCCAACAGGTCACAGGGCAAATCAAGAAGCTGGTGAGTACTGCCCATGCAGTGCCAGTTATGGTGGGTGCATGTGCATGGGGATGCTTGACTTGGTCTTATGATAACTCTTGCCTTTGTTATGTTACTAAAGAGCATGCCATGGATGTTTAGCTAGCTTCCCACTGAGCTCTGTTCTGCTGTCTACAAACACCCCAGACAACCCCGGACAGATCACTGCGCTGTTTTAATGAATGTATGCACAACACCAAGCATATCAGGGACAATATTGAATTTTCAGTTCAAGTGTGAAAGCTGGCAACAAAATGACCCAGAGAACTGCTGAAGAGCAAGTAGGAAAAAAGGTGACTTCTTTGTCACATGAGTTGCTCCAAAGTAAAACTACTTTGGTGTTGCTATAACTTTCTGCTGGACATATCAACTATTCCGATTAATTTGATAATATTACAAGATCACAAAGAGGTAAAGGACAAAACCATTAAGACATCTTAAAAGACTGTTAAGTAGCAGTTAGTTTAGCTCAAAAAAAAAAAAAAAGGAAAAAGAAAAGAATTATAACCATTAGAAATGAACAGGTCTCCCTGAGCTAGCTGAGGCTTGCTGTGATTCTAAATACACACTGGAAATGGAAAATGTCAATCATCAGCCACATCCCACATGTGTTTACCATCACACTTTTGAACTAAAAGTTGGCAGTGATGCTAGATTAAAGATTATAGGTAGGTGTTCTTAAGGTACTGATCTAGAGTTTGAATGGTTGCAATGTAGACAATAACCAAAATGAAAACATCCAGATGTAATTTGAACACAAGTGGTATTGTGATGAATGGACTCCATATACTCATTGGCAAACTTATACAAGCCTTGTGTTTTCAATCCTCTGTTTGTCTTTGAAAGTCCTTCAGTCCCTCTAGTTTTCTCTGCAAATATGCTGCTTCATAGCTTGTGCATTTTGGCATGTTTTGTATTTGAAGCATACAGAAGAGGACTGTTTGAAAACATTGCAAGACTTCTAGAGTTACAATAATAACTTTTCCATAAAATATCCATTAACTTGGTATTAACTGTCCCTTCTACATCAGATGACTACAAGAATAAACAGTTTGAAAATCCAGAACTTGCTCCTTTTATTTCACATGTAGCTGGAAAACTCAGTTCTTCCTAAGTGAATGAACAGCAGAGCTTTCAGAAATAAAACAATCCATCGCATAAAGCAATGTTTATACAAATGGGTGGTAACAAGCTGTCAGGTATCTGACTTTTTAAATTAAAATGTATACAGATTCCAGTTTTGTCTTTTAGTAGCCCTGCTGAAATGTCATGCAATGCTTGAGACCGTACAGATGTAAAATATATCCACATATCCCTTATTCTACTGATAGTTTCTTCTGACATTAAAAATATTGTGTTCATTCAAAAGGGGGCAATACTTAATAAGTACACCTGATTTGGAACAGTATTAGTAGAAGAGGTTTGTCAGATCCCTGTGAAAGTGACCATATGATGCAGCCAGTGATCCAGTCCTGTGAAGGAGAGGAGGAATATGAGTAACAACCTGAGCCATGGCTCTCCTGAGGGCAACACAGTAGGTTTCCAAACTGAAATAGTGGAACTGGGAGAATGGGACTTAAATGCAGGCATGGACATGTGCCAAAAGGCAAATAAAAGCCATGAAATTTTTCATTTAATCAAAATTCAAATCTTCTACTTGAAAAGAAGCATGACAGAAAATTGTCAGCCAGCCCAGTCAAAAGCAACAATGGCAACAGCACTTTTGACCCATGTGGAAGCGTAGGGGGGTTTTCAGTGGGAGAAATCTTTCAAGTTTCTATGTCTAATTGCAGGTCCAGAAAGGTTCTGAGAATAATGTAAGGATTTTTACAATGGAAACATCTTTTGACATTTTCCCAGCAACAATTCTGTGGCTGTATATTTGTATTATGCTTCAGTTTTTAAGTGTAAGCATGTAAATGGTTCTGTTGACCTCCAGCCTGCACTGAAGTGCTTTGCTGGATCAGAATTAGAGCCTTTTCTTGCAACCATCCACTTTCTCAGTAAGGTTTCTGCTAAATAATATGCAGGTTGGAACCAACATCTCTTTCCACTGCAATTATGAACTACTGCCTATACAATTTCTCTGCTTCATTTTGTTTTGCTTGTATGTTAAGTCAGTGATTTGTACCTGATGTGGAAGATTAGTGCAGTATCAGTAGATTTGGGATGCTGCCCTTTGCAGTCACCTTGGAGCAGGAAGAGGAACAGTGATTTGCTTGAAGTTTTTATGGATTTTTCCAGATGTACTGAAAGCCTTAAAGCACGCTAAGTGTTTATAAACCATAACACTCAGCTACAAAAGAGAGTGGTATAATGTGTCTTTTGAATTACTTTCCATCTTGGAGATTGAGAACAGTCTCACTGTGAAAGCTATTTTTATATCATGAACTTACTATGGCCAGTATCTGTATTTTGATTATCTCCTAATCTGCCAGGGTTTTGTTTTTATTTAAATGCTTGTAAGTAAAGTAGGCCTTCCAGCAGATTTCTGTTACAGCTTTCTCTTTTACTCAGTAAGCTTAGCTGCAAGGCTGCTGTGTAGCTTTATAATGTTTTCATTTGTTCTCTGGAGGTTAATGCATTTTTACTACTGCAGAAGTGTTTGAGTTGGATGCATTTTGATGAAAAGGACTGAACCATAAGATGGTTGTCATTTTTACTGCTTTTTAAATGAAATTCAGAAGTTTGAAGCTCCCAGCTCAGAGGATGGAATACACATGAACAAGCAGGCTAGCTGAAATCTCTTGTGAACTTGGGCATTATACATATATGCTTCAGTATGGTAAGTATCACAGGGTTAAACAGCATCATCACTGGCCAGCTTGTACAGCTAGTGTCAAAACCTTGTTTCACAACATTTTCAATACTGCCCAAGCTGATCACTGGTAAGACAAAGACCTCCAGTACCTACAGGAGGCCTTCAGTGCCTCCTCACCTCTGAAGGTCATTTGTGAAGAGTGAGATTGGTGGTTTCTGCCTCTGTTTTATGGATATATCCAGCTGGACTTGAAAGTACATCATTTTGCTGTCCCTCTGCTGTTTGCCATTAAGTAGGAGCACACCAGTTGCAATAACATTGTGAAAGGTAATTAATTGATACCTGTAACAGTCCTCAGATGTCCATTGAAAAGCATAAGGAAAATCATAGGGTTTTCCCACTGTTCAGACCCAAAATTCATGTGCTAGAAAAGGTCAGGCAGTTTTCCCTGTCAGGGAGTGGTTTTTTTTAAATAGGACACTACAATTTTGGAGTAGGTAGTGGACTTTTTAGATGATGTCCAGGGAGGTTGTAGTGAGCCAACGCAGACTGCTCGAAACAAACTCTCACCGGTTTGTAAGGCTGATTTTTTTCAGCTGTTCATCATTTCAGTTTTTCTGACTGCAAAGGTGAAATTGGAACTGCAACATTTACTTATCTCAAGCACTTAGATGAAGGACTGTAGAAGTATCAAGTGTAATTTTTTCATTTTTTAAATACCAGCACAAGTCAATCCATGCAGGAAATACAATGCAAAAATGATACAATTGCAAGACTGTAAAATCCTTTTTCTTTTCTTATTTAGCTGGTTCCTCTCATGCAAAAAAACCACCAGACTCCAAGTCTTCTTCATCACCATCTCCTTTGTCCGCATCGTCTCACCCCAAAGCCTCTAAGGAGACTTCCAGCAAATTGGGCACATCAGGGACTCCCCGGGGCAAGAAAAAACCCGGGAAACAGTCGACCCCACGAACAGCACCAGATGGGGCTACTTCTTCCCCCTCAGGTGCCACAGCCAACAGTTTGGAAGTGAAGACAGAAAAACCCAAGGCTGAGCAACCTTCCATAGTAACTTTTGAAATGGAGGACACAGACCAATCGAGCAAGCTTGTTGTGCCCCCTCCTCCCACTGCTGCCCCTCCTCCACCTCCACTTCCACCTCCTTTCCCTGCTGCAGCTGGTCAACCTGCTGTCTCCTCAGATGCCCAGGATGTGTCAGACAGCTGTGTGGCAGGGCCATGCAGCCCTGGATCAGATACTAAAGCTCTTCTCCAGACTGAGCATGGCATAGATGAGAGTCTGAGCAGTACGGCCCTAGGCAGAGGTCCAGATGCTAGTGGAGAAGACACAGAAAGGTAAGACAGTATTACTGTCCTGGGTGAGTGGTAAGACCCACAGACAAGGAAGCCACGTTTCTTTGCAAGGGACGCTGTAGGCACACAGGAATCTCTTCTGTTTCTTCTGCTGACTGGTAATAGTTTGCGTTGCATCCCAGCACAATTTGTTCCTTTCCAGTGCCTTTGAGCCATTCACCTGCAGTACCTCATGTTTCCCCAGAAGGTCATTGCTCACAACCTGCCTCTTACGTCATTGTTTGGCTGACACTGCTGTCAGCAGTTCAGCTAGTAGCTGGTGACATTTCTATTTCTCTCTCATAAAGGCAAACAAGAAATTATGCTGAATTATAAGGGGGTTTACTTTTTTTTTCTTTTGGTGGATGTCATTAAATATCTCGTTGCTAAAGCTCTAAATTCAATGGCTGAATTTACTTGCACACTTGAAAACAAGAGTTTCAGGCTCCAATTAGTGGGTCTTTGGTCTGTCACTGCATAGTGGCTTGTATAAATCTCAGGTACTGTAAAAACTAGTCAAGAGAAAGGTCATAATTACACTTTTTAAGCAAAATAGTTGGCAGCAAAATGGAACTGGCTTAATGATTTATCTTTTCCCTGCCTCAAGAACCAGCATCTTTTATATAAACCCGAGAGAGTTTAGTCTAGATGCCAGTAGCCTAGAGACCTTCCTTTAAATTCTTGTTGGTACATCTGTCAGCATTACATTCCTGTGCTACATCTCCCCTTGCTCTACCCTTCTTTTACACAAAGATTTTCCCAAGGCAAAGGGCAGTCTGCTGCCAATTTCCGTGGTTGTCAGTGATGGTCATGAACATTTTGGACTCAACTGCAGTGAAACTGTATTTACAGTAAATAGGGTTAGGCTTCCAGAAAAGGAAGCTTTGCACTCCCATCTGCTCTCCAAGTTGCTCCTCTCACCCGCAACTTTATGAACTGTTTTTCTCTCTTTATTATGCACTGTTGGTCCCATCCCACAAGAAATAAAAAACAATTAGGATTTGTCTTTATATAGTCTTTGCAGCACATGATTCCAGGTTGTTTGAATCCTTTTTCCTAACATACATACATAGGTACATACACACATCTGCATACTTTATAAATGTTTTACATATATACATTTTTTAGAAAGGTATTAGTTTGAATAACAGAACTTTTCATACTTGCTTATACAATGTCTCCCATTTGTGTTCTGTTCTGCTTGCATTAATGTATCACCGTGTCTGCTTACAAATTAACAGCTTGGCTATGAAAGGAGACCAAGAAGTGGAGGCTCCAGACCAGGCACACTCTGAACCAGTGGAGGAGGCTGCTGACACTGGTGCCCCTCATGAGAGTGAAAGTAGCAGAGAGAGCCATGGCAGTGACTCAGATTCAGACGGGCCGATACTGTACACAGATGATGATGATGATGACGATGATGAGAATGCAAGTGCTGAAAGTAAGCATCCTGCTTAGCTTCTTAGCTGCAGGCTACCTTTTGCAGATTGCGTTATGTGAGCATGCCTGACCCATGCTAGTGTGAAGCAAAGAGAGAGATGACCGCAGGGGCTGGTTTTAGGGCATTTACTATTTTGTCACTACTGAGAAATGAGTGTCCTGCTTCTCACAGACAACTGTGATCAGAAACCTGCTGGGGCCTGTGCATGGATGAGAGCAGTGCACAGATGGGAGTAGAGGTGGGAGGAGCAGGTTCAGAAGAACATGAGGGTGGAACAAGGCCTCCATGTTAGGGCATCAAAAGTCATTGATTTGGCTCACCTCTGTCACAAATTCCATGTGTGAGTTACATTGTGGTGGATGACAGAGGAAGCCCATCAGTTGTCAGCTTCACTATCTAAAAGTCATTTGTTCCTCTTTGATCAGGATGTTTTAAGCATTGGAGCGACCTTAGCAGACAGAGCAGATCACAGTAGTTTACATCTAAGTTTTACAGCTTTGAAATTTCATCTGAGGTCATGACTCTATCATCACCCTAATTGGGCAGAAGCCCTGCAGCTGCTGAAGGGGTTGTCCTACCCCCATTCTCCCTAATCCCTGCTCCCAGCTGTTTGCTCTTCCCTTAGGCCAGCACTCAAATTCATTTTTGCAGCAGTGGCTGTTGTTGAGCTGATTTTCAATATAACTGGTGGTTCCCTGATCCAGCTCACCCAATGGCTGCTCCTTTGCTTGGGCAAAGAGGTGGCAGCAGCAGGCTGTTGGGATGGAGAGGAAGGCAGCCCTACTTCTACTCCCTACAGGGTGGCCATATGTCAGTATAAAATCACTACTGAACCATTGCTTGAGAGCCTTGCCCACAGGTGTTCCAGAGGAGGTGCTTCTCTGTGCTCAGGGAAGAAGTCCTGAACACCAAAGTGCTGTGTACCAAAGTGGGGTGAGCGAAAATGAACTTGTGTTTTTTATCTTGGCCATCGGTGCGGCAGAAGACGAAGTGCCAGGTAGCTCAAGAGGCTGAAGTCTTCTGCAGTTCTGTGTTGGGTTTGAATAAAATTCAGTGTGATAGAAACCAAAAATTCATGTATTCAGGCAGCAGCATGATGTCTTATGAGAAGTGAGCTGAGAGCCTGTGGTCTTACCAAACTGCCTTACATGGTGAAAATCTGCCAGCCTAGGACATATGTAGCTCACCTTGGCCAGAATGTCAAGACACAAGGGAAAGACTATTAAGCGTGTGAAAAATACCCTTTCTTCCAGAGCTGGCTGGAGCTAATGCTGACCAAGCTGCAAGGCCCTTGTCCGTACTGTGTCAGTTTTATGGATAAACAGATTGCTTCCATGTGTTGGGGTTCCTGCCTAGGTTACTTTACAAGCACTCAGAGCACTTCTCTAAGCTGTATTTTTTGTTTTAATTTATAAATAAGTTTAAGATGACAGTGGTAATTGATTGGAAAAAAAATTGAAAGAATGAAGGAAATGATGATAGAATGAGACTAAACCATTTAAGGCTGAAGAAAGAGCAGCAGGTTGCTAAGATAAATAAGCCAATCTGTAATGTATTAGACTTCAAAGACACTTAAGTGTAGATTTGTCATTTTTATCCTATCACTTCACAGATGACAAGTGATGTTTGTATCAATTTGGCTGGTAGCTTTTTCCTCCAAGCCTTTTAGCTTTTTATTTTTGTGAACTGAGCTAAAATTTTTCTTTTGATGTTAATTAAAATTCCTCTTCTGCATGTGGGAACAAGGTCGCTTTGGGGAGGTACTAAAGTTTTTACTCAGAGTTTGCGTCTGTAACCTAAGCATAAATGAACTAAATCTACCCTACTCTTCCTTTCCTCAGGCTCTTTGGCAAGTAAAATCCGTCGTAGGGATACTCTTGCTATCAAACTTGGCAACAGACCATCTAAGAAAGAATTAGAGGACAAAAACATCTTGCAGCGTACATCTGAAGAGGAAAGGCAGGAGATCAGACATCAGATTGGAACGAAGCTAGTGAGGTATCAGTCTCAGGGTAAATGTGATTTGACTGAGTGGAGGTGGAGGAAGAGAATTAAGAACACTGGGTTCATGTTTTAAATGCAGCCCAATATGCACTGCAGGATCTTTGTGGTATAACTGTCTGGAAAACAGTAGCTTTATTTCCCACAAAACTTTAAAATGTCAATAATTCATTTTTTGTCCTGCAAGGAACAAATGTGAGAGGTCCTGGGTTTTTGGGTTGTTGGGTTAAAAAAAAGGAAAGAAGAAGAGGGTAACAATGAGTCCACAATAATCAGTGCTATGGTTCAGGTTTTTTCTCAAATTGGTTGGCAGGAACTTTCACTTGTATGTACACCCGTCTCAGACAGAGTCATAGTTCCTGACATACAGAGCATGCCTGTGCATGTTTGTCCCTTCTGAGTCTCCCTATCCTCCTCCTGCTCTCTAATTCCTTCATTATTCGTGTGTTGGTTCCAGCAAAAGAAGTGGAAGGAGGCTGACTTTGCAGGTCAGTGTCTGTTGTTTTACTGTGCCCACCTCTGAGGCATGCCTTTCTCATGCTGTTAAACTGCTATGGGATATATGTTACTTTCTCTTTCTGGACCTGAGAACATTGCATGAAAATATTTCACTTGCCTTTTTACAAGCTTTTTTTTTTTTAAATCTTCATGTTAATTTTGGCTTTTGTGGTCTCTGAGAATAGACTACAGCATGCCTGTATTTTGCCAGATCTGTCCTTGTTTCTCTTGGGCTCAGGAATGTTGTCCAGACAGATCTGGAGGATGTCTTGTGTTGGTTGGACATTTAGAGATATAGGATAGTCCAGTTGGTACTGCTCCAGTACAGAGTAAAGCAGCTCTGCATTAACATTTAGAAGCTGAGTTTGTGTGTGAACTGGGAGGCTGGATAAGGCACCTATTTAATTACTTAACAGTAAGAGTGATACATCTATTGTGTAGAGCCCGAGGGTCACTTTTCTTTTGCTAATAAAGTGGTGTGGTTGTTATCACCACTTTCCTAACCAAATCCCAGCTCTGGTGATCACATCCTGCTTGTCAGTGCTCCCTCGGGGGCTAGAACTGCAGAAGCTGCTTTGGTTCCTCCCCTGATCACCTTGCACAGGGACATGGTGGGTTCTGCTGGAGAGCTGACGTGCTCCCCATACAGCTCTGCTTTGGTGGCAGGAGACAATGTCTGTGTGTGTCAGGGCTGTGCTCATACCCAAATCACAACAAAGTTTGACACCGAGTTCCTTAAAAATTCCCAGTGTGGTGATCAACACTTAGCAGCATCAAGGTCTGGTGGGAAATCTCTTTCCACAGCTCAGCCAGGGTGAGGGTCTGCCATTCCTTTGGGACACATCTGGAAGTCCAGGCATGATTTGAATTGGATGAGTTTCATGAGGCTGAAGACAGTTCGTAGTGAACTGTGTGAGTGTTGCTGGACAGAGGAGCACCTACCTTTGACAAATCTGCAAAATAAGTTTTACTGCTGGAATTTTTCATGCTCCTTTTCTCAAGTGAGCAAGTGAACTTGTTTAGTAAACATAGAGACAACATCAACCATGTTCTTTACTATACAAACCAGAAAATTAAAATCTCAATTTGATTTTTTTTGTAAGGGCAGTTGTTATATATAGGTAACTAAATAAAATTAAGTTTCAGTTAAAGCTCCCAATTGTACTGTACGTACAATTCAGTGACAAATGAACAGCTTATGGGTTTTGTTGTTGTTTCTTCTTTCTAAAAAGTAATAAGATTTGCATTCAGAATATCTGAAAATAGTCTTACGATTGCACTAGTTATCATAAAGATGGTGCTTGGGAACAAAAGAAGATTTATGAATTCTTTCATAAAATTACACCTGTGAGGAATTTTAATTTGTGGTGCAATTTCTGTAGTATTATTCAATTATCAGTTATTTATGTGTTCAAGTGGCAGCAGTACATCTTTTAAAACAAACAGCAACTCACCACTATGGTTACATGTGCAGTTATTGTAACTGTCTGGAAATTACCTGTGCTGGCAAAGAACAGCACAGCCATATGAGAAATAACTTTTGACATTACAAAATGTGTTCTGTATTACAAATTGGAATTTATTATTTGAATCTGGTTTTAAATCAGTCATTTACTTTGTTCTCACAGGAGACTTAGCCAGAGGCCTACAACTGAAGAGCTAGAGCAAAGAAATATCCTGAAGCGTAAGTATTTTATTCAGGCTTCAGCTAGTATTTACTTAGGAAATGAGCATGTGTTGGATTCATATGGAAGCCCGTAATTGTTGCTGCAGTATTGGATCCATAACCGGAGAGAAATTATGTTCTAGAAAATAATGTGTCAACACTAGATTTATATACTAACCTGTAACTGTGGCCGTGAAAAGAGCATATATTCAATATGCCAAATTTTGCTTGTCACAATCCCACTTCTTGAAGGTGGTCCCAAAAGACCAGGAATGATTTAGATACCCCTTAGAAGTAGTTCTAGGCCGGTTGACTTTCCACCTAATTTTTATGAGGAGGAGGAGGGAATATCAGTAGGAGGCAAAGGTGGGATGTAAGGGCAGAGGTTGGAAGGAGGAGTAGAAAGAGGTAAGGCAAAGTGTTCAGAGGAAAGACAATAGGTATGTGCCGAGTACTTCAGCATGCTTGCCTTCATATTCACTTTTGACATAAATGTCTTCTGTACTGAAACCTTCATGAGACATTCTCACCAAATATCTTCCCATTTATTAAATCCTTCCTTAATATCCCTGGTGAAAAAAAAGTCTTTAATTCAAATAGTCAAGGGCAGAGGAATGAAGTACATTAGGTGTTTATACCTATTCTCCCATTTACTTATATTGGTTTTGTTCTTAGGCTGGCAAACTCTTCAGAACAGGAAGTTTTTGTCTTCCTTTATGAATCTTTCCATAATATGGGTGTTACCTAAACACATAGTGTAGCAGTTGCCATGCCCAGTTCCATCTAGCCCTGTATTCATTCTACGGGAGTAGCTAGTATTTGATGGTTAAGTAGAAGAAATAAATGAAGAAAATGCACATGCAAGGCTTTCACACATACCAAAAAAATAAAAAAATTCAGCTATTCTTAGCACATGAGAACTTTTCACACCTCATGAAAGAGAAGGAATAATGCTGTTATTTCCAACAATTATTCAGAAGAGTTGTGCAACCCTGATGTGCAGCATGGTAATGGAGGGAAAGAAAATGGGCTGTTTGCCTGACAGCATCCAGGGACTGATGACTCGGTCACTTTATCAAGCCAGCAAATCAGAGGAGTCAGCAATTATTGGCTTTCAGGCAACCATCCGTGCTAATAAAATCTTACTGCTGTTGTACAAGCTCTCAGATGTCAAATAGCTCCATGTCTTATTGAAGAGGGAAGCTACAGTTCATGTGTGCACAAAAAAGGGGTCATGGCACTCCTTTGTGTGAATAGACTTCCTAATGTGAATAGACTTCCTAAAACTGTAATTTCTGAACCTATAGATTGCATAGATAAATAAAGATAAAATTTGAAATATGAATATTTTTTTAAATCACAGATTGCTCATGCTAGACTATGTGAGAAAGGTAATTCCAAAACATCTTTGGTGGGCCAAGATACGGCCATTGAGCTGGGAGCACCAGCTGGGCTCCCTTATTGCCCCTTCGGTCTCGTTTACCTAGTAGCAAACCTGCAATGTATTTAATATCACTTTTGCCAATGTTTTTTCTATTCACTGATTTTGCAATAAGTAGCTCAAGACTTGAAAGCAGTTAATAGATTTCTTCTCCTGTTTCAGCTTGTTTGCTTTAAGCTTTTGGCAGTGTACCAAGCGTTACACTCAGTGCCTCCCGCTGTCCTCCCCTGCTGCTGCCGAGGGGCTGTCTTAAATAGGCAAGGGAGAGCAAAAAATACAGGCTGGGGAGCAGAATGATAAATCACAAAAAGTCACAGAGTCCTTGGCGAGCACATGGAGAATACAAAACTGCTTTTTGCTCATCTCTGAGATACAAAATATTTCAAGTTGAAAATGATCTGTAAAAAGCAAAGTGAACCAAAGCAAGCCAGGATTTGTGGTGACAGTCTGACTCAGAGCCCTTTGAGGGTGCAAGTTCTCTCTCAGCCCTAAGGCACTCATATTTTAAATCAAAATTATTGCATTCCCTTCCTGTGGATCATTTGAAAATGTTTACATGTCTTAAATGCCTTTGTTGGTGTAGTCAGCTTTTGTGAGTAAGTTGGGATTTCTTTCATAAAGTTTCCTTCTTCCTATTTTTAAGCAGTGGATGGGGAGGAGGGGTTATATTATTGCATGTATATAAATTGCAGCTAAGGGGAAGTATTGTTTTGAGTAATATTTATCATAGACTTTGAGGTTACATTAAGTGGTAAAGGTCCAAATGTTTACTTCAGAATTAAGTTCAGCCCAAATCGTCTAAGAGGTTAAAAAAAAAATCTGTATTTTTTTCTCTTTTTTTTTGTATATCCAGTTAGTGAGGAAGTCTGTTTTGCAAGAAGTTTTGTTTTGATAATATTACCAGATAAACCAGTTACTGAAAATCCTGTTTCCAAGTACGATCACAAGGCATTGCAGGCGGATTTCTATAAAAACTGTTTGAATAAAACTATCTAGACTTCTGAGACTTCCCATACTAAAACAAAGTTATGATAACTGAAGAGTCCACTTGAAGGAATACATAAAGCCGTGTGTTTTTTATAAAGACAGGTTTCTTGTGTACTGGCTTTGAACCAACTGTATTTATAGTATTGCAGTATGGCAAAGAAACTTTCTAGTCTTCCAAGAATTTCAGATTAAGATAACTGTATTTTTTTCCTGTATTGGTAAAGGACAGTGAACTTCATGTACAGTGCACCTGCATGCCTGCCAGTAGTGGCTTTGTAGAAGACAGGATTTGAAGACAGCTTTATAGAAAACTGGCTTTAGCTCTCAGTGCTAGTTAAGAAATATCAATGTAAAATCAGGAAAGAGAAACCACTTTGTGTGTTTCAGAGCACTGCGAGGAGCAAGTGCTTTGTTTGTCTTTTCTTTCTCTTTCCCTAGCAAGCCCACATAGAAGTCTAAACATAGCTAATCCCATAGGGACACAATGGAAAGTTCAGTACTCCAGGAGTACTTTCTGGTCAAGAACAGAACAGTCCTCGGGCAGGAAAAATTCTGTTTTCTCTTTTCCCCTTCTGCTGCAAAACAAATGTCCCAAAGAACAAAAGGTGACTAAATTTAATATGGCAAAAGTTGCAGGAGCAATAAGGTATAGATGCCAGGGAGGCTGCTGGTTTGACTTTGGAGAGTGGATTGTTTAACTTGATGGCCACAATAAGTGATGATAAACAAAATTGTTTCAGTTAGGATTCAGAACCCAGTTTGACCTCTTAGGAGGTGCAGGCAGGGAAGGAGGGAAGCCTTAGTTTTGCTGGGATCTAACCAGAGACTTCTGGAAGCAAAGGGCGCTTGCTAGGCTGGTCCTTTGCCAATAAGGCAGCAGTGGGACATCTGAGGAGGGGATTTGCAGCTGGGAATGCTGTGTTTATATTTTCTTTCTCCACACTACACAGATTAGATCTGCTTTTAAGGTGGAAAGCAGAAGTGTGTTTCTGTGCATTAATGTGTTCCTGTTTGGGCAAGTGAGTCACCTGCAGCCAGATCTTGGCCCTCTGGCTGGAATTTTCCACAATACCTGAAGGAACCAGGAGCACCAGACCCATTATTTTTAGCATCACATATCTTCTTAACTCATTACAGCAACTTTCAAAACTTTTACCTTAAAAGACCAAAAATACACTGTAGATTTTACTGTTTGTAGGAATTTGTATCCAGGCAGTGTTTCTGTAGCACCAGGCTTAAAGCAATGCTCTGCCCAGCGGGCCAGAGGTGGGAAATTGGTGCTTTAGGCATGAGTCAGAGCCAGAGACAGAGGCTTGTTTGCCAAACAACAGATTCAGTAGATTAGCAGCAACCACCAGATTTCAGTCCATTTCCTTTAGCTCTTGAGTTTTATTCCTAGAAGTAAACCAACTTGAATGTATAAAATACATCCTGTCCCCGGACCTCTCACACAGAAGACTATCTGTTCCCCATGGGTTTTATCCCTCCTGCTTTGCATCAGGAGTGACGGAAGGGCCTGATGCCTCCTGTTGGTATTGTCCTCCAAAAGATGGGCTGCCAGCTCTCTTTGACAGCCTGTTCCAGGACCTGCCTCGACCTCTGCCCAGCAGCTATAATGACGGCCTTGCATGTTGCCTATTTTTGGATGTTTTCCCTTGTTCAGTTGTCCCTTTGTGCAATCATCTGGTACCCACAGGGAGGTAGCTTTACAGCTTGGCATAGGCAGCTAACCTTCAACCTTCCTAAATGTCCAGACTAACTCTTTTACGGTATTGTATCCTCCCTCAAAATATAGAAAAACAGTATTTCAGGTGACCATGCTGTTGGTAGTTCCTTAAGGTATGCATTAAGCAGTCTGAGCCCCTATTTCTTACATGAAGCAGCTTGTTGCTGCTTCTTAGGAGACACTGTGGTTTAGATAGCAAAGAAATGTCAAGATATGAATAATGCACAATATATTTTATGAATTAAGTTAAGGAAAGGACAGTACAGTGATGTGTATATTCAGCTGCTTTTTTTTTTTGCTATGTCTGCTACTGAAGAGTTTCCAAGGTAGACCATTCATGAAGGGACAAAATTTTTTATGTCAGATGATTCCCAGGTGAATGGAACCCCAGATTAATAGTTTGTGTTTAATTACCTCAGCTACAAAGTCTACTGATTGCAAAGACAGGATGTTTAAACAAAAGCCTGCAGATGATTTATCTGTCCTAAAACAGCTAGAGAGCTTTCGATTTTTTTTTTAGGTGAGGATTTTATGAAAAGAGTTCTCATTTAGAGTCCAAAGTCCTTAAATATACCCAATTTGTTTATTGATAGATATATTAATTAAAAAATTAAAATGTAGATTAATCTATAACTCTTCATTCTTCAGTTTTAGTCCATTTACAGTTCTTCTGTGGAAACAGGCCATCAATTTCTTTTCCATTTAAGAGAAAAGTTATTAATAAACCATAAATTACATCTGTGTTTCAGTATCTCAGTAAAATCACCACCAGTATGAGATCCAGCCTAATCCTGGCAGGAAGACTGTGAGATTGCATCTTGCTCTTGGAAACCTGGGTTGGTGTTGGACGCTTCTCACAGAGCAGATCTTGGGCTGGCGTTGCCTTTTTCCTACTGTATCTTTCTTCTTTTTCATTTTAATAATTTGTCCTCTTCTCCTTTCCCTTGTATTTTTCTTCTATGAAAGCCTTTGAGTTAGCAAAGGAAATCTGCAAGTACCACAAGGTATCTTGTTGTAGCATTGCCTCCAGTGTGTAAGTCATGATACACAAACTCTTCTGTAGCCAGGTTACCTATAGTAACATAGCAAGCTGGACATGGGAAACAGGGCAAATATGACTATACTAGGATTTAAAACTGCCTTTTCATCTGTACAAGTTGGCTGTATCCAGAGCAAATTAATTCCTTTAAATTTATAGTTACCCTTGAACTATAATGTGGTGTCCGTAATCCTAAACTGTGAATAAAACAGGATCAAAATTTTAGGGATGTCTCTAGATAGGATATTTCACAATATAACCATCAGAGGTGGACTGAAAGGGCAAATAATATTCTGCAAAGTGTACATCAATCTAGAAAGATGCTAAGCCCATATGAACATATCTTTGTAAGCGTGCTTTTCACTGACAATCAAGAAATCAAGTTTGGTTAGCACAGAAATTTGTTAAAACCACATTTTAGTCACATGCCCAAATACATTCCAAAAATGCACGTGTATATTTGTGCTGTACTCATTCATATGGTACAGCCAGTGGCCCTTAACCAAGAGGGCTTGGGTGCTGAATCTTATGCCCCCATTATAAAACCAGAAAAAAAAAATTAAGTAATAAAACCAGTTTGCACTAACAAATGACAGTGAAACAAATCTCATTGATTCATTGTGTCCTGTAGCAGTAGAAGACGCTTGTCTGATTTAAATAGTCAGAGCAAACTTTTTTCTTGACACTTATGAATAACTAGACTCTCACTCTAAAGTCAAGAGATGGCATGTTGGAAGTAAAAGCAACAGTGAGTTTTTTGTTAGAATAATTAACTGAAACATTAGGCAGCTCTTTCAGGGTACGTGCTTGCTGATGCACAGAAAGGAAATGACAGGCACCTCCTCTTTGCTGTGCTCGTGACCCACAGTTGACTTGAGATCTCTACAGAATCAGCGGAAATGCGGATAGGGAAAAGAATGAGAGCAAACAAAAGCCAAAAAGCAGACAACATATGCAGCACCAGCCAGAAATATGAGGAAATATGACCAAGGACTTAAAGTTCTGAAGCTTTCAACCAACAGATATACATTATGTGCAGTTATAATACTTAAATATTCACTCCTTTTTATCTCTTCTGAAAACAGAGAAGAATGAAGAAGAAGAACAGGAAGCCAAAAGAGAAATAAAACGTAGACTCAGTAGAAAGGTGATTATGTGTTTTTTGTATTGTGTATTCGTGTACATAGAATTATATTTTATAAGAGTCTAAAAATCATTGTGTAGACATTGCTACAAATGTCCATCAGTCATGTCCCCAGATTAGAAATCTGCTTAAAAAGCAGTACAAGCCAAATCCATCTTGGGGCAAACTCCATCCTGTCCAGTTTCCCACACCTGGAAAAGCATACAGAGTCTGGCCATGCTTAATATTTGTCTGTGTAAGCAGGGGAGATAAGTGACACGTTTCCTCTGTGAGCTGTCACATATGTTGGAGGGCAGCCACACCTGTAGATCTTAGAGCAGTGAAGGGGGCAGCAAAGCAGTGTAAGCTCTACAAAATCCCTTCACCGATCTTCTAACCACATTGGTGGTCCTAGCTTCTGCAGGTGGGATCATGCTCATTGTCCCTGGAAATGGAGCAGTTATGGGTCTGCTGTTCTGGGACAGGATGTGGGGAGTTTTTATAAGTGTCTCTAGTCTGCTCTTCTCTGCAAAAATACAGTTTCCTTAATATGATCATCCTTAGTTAATTAAAGTGAATATTGTTTGAGGTGAGTGAAACAATTTGGCATCATAATGACCCCCAGATGGTCAAAACCAATTTTTTTAGTTAGGCAGGTAGTTCCAAATCCTGCTTATTTCAGTATTACAGTTTAACACAGCAAACTGTATAATCATTGATGCAAATGGCCTAGTGGAGTAAATGCTGTGACAGTTGCAAAGTCACAATTAATATTCCAGGGATAACTGTCATGATTCCCTGTGACCTGCCTGACGAAGACTATTTTTATGATTGAAAAAATTAGGTTGTGCTGCCTCCCCATTCCTGTGCAGCACTCCCGGGATGGTGCCTTTTTATAGACACCTGAAAGTGACCCTATTTAGAAATACCATTAAAGTTCTCTTGAGATTACATCATACCCTCGGCTTTTATTTTACTTTATTTCATCTTATTAAGTGTATTATTTTCTGCCTCTTGCTTACAGCTCAGTCTGAGGCCTACAGTGGCTGAACTTCAAGCAAGAAGAATCCTTCGATTTAACGAGTATGTGGAAGTCACGGATTCTCCAGATTATGACCGTCGTGCTGACAAGCCTTGGGCCAGGTTAACTCCTGCAGACAAGGCAAGGGACAAATGTAGATTATAAGAAAATGTGAAAATGCTTGCATCTGTTACTTTTGTGGAGCTTTCCTCTGATTTACATTCTCTTGATGCCAGCATCACAAATGACATCTGCTGGAGACAGCAAGATTGTCATGATACTATTGCTTGCAGATAAGAAAACCCACTCAGGTGCCCACTAAGAGCATATTTGCCACCTCTGTTATGACAGTTCAGCCTAGAATTTCTAAGCTTTTTTCCTAATTTTTCTAATTTTTAAATCCTTGCTAAACCAGAAAAATGCTTAGCAAAGGTGGCCCTGACCTGTGGAATTGAGGCGAATTCTGCCACTGAGAGTTACTTTTGCAACTCATTTGAGTGCAAAAAGGTAGAAGCTGCCTCATCCTCCTCAGGGATCTTGGCCACAACAACCAGTGCAGGAGCTGACTGTGTGCATGCAGTGCAACTTCATGGGAAATTTGCCCCTAAAATGTACAGCTTATAGTTCCTCTACCTAACTACAAAGGATGAGACAAAAGATACTGTGACTCTCATTTAAAAAGAGATCAAAGATCACCATAAAATACTCTTCCATTTCCATCCTATACCACTTAATAGGAAAAGAACTTGAAAAGGAAAGCTGTAGGATTTAGGTAGCAAAAAGTACTGGCCCTTTTAGCAATGGATCTGAACCTACTTTTATGGAAGTCCGATGAGATATGCTTGACATGAAAAGCAATATGTGCAAGCACTCACTGTCTTTTAGCTCAACATGGTGAAGCACTAATTTTATTTCAGCTTGTATTTTTTAATATTAATATTAAAAAACTGCCAGCTCATCTGACAATCAAATGAGAATCTCATATCAAGTCAAGGTGGAGACATTAAAAATGTAGCCAGAAGTGTTTGTATGTGTTGTTTCTGGGAGGTGCTGAGCACTCTCTAATCCTCACAATAGTGTGTGGGAGATTAGAACACCCAGCTCCTCCACTTTGACCTGAGTCCAGCCAGGGTACGCTGAAGTATTAAAAACAATGGAGTTTTCTACCTGCTTCAGTAGAGCAGTTTTTAATTTCAATTAACTTTGTAGTGAACAGGTGCCCAGGGCTGGTTCTGTGAGCCCCATGTTTGTTGGCCTTAGCAGAAAGGCATACCCAGGGTTGCCTGGAAACTCCTTCACCCTTTTTTTTTTCCCAGGGAAGTCATTCTTCTAATTCCAGTGGGAGCAGAAAATTGTACTGTAACTATATTAAGAAGCTGGAGCTCTAGTGTCTTTCCTGCTGATTTGGTGCTCAGAAATTGCTGCCCCTTTCCTAGCTATAACAGCAGTTTCATGTAAGCATTCTGTTGTGGCTAAACAGAACCATCCCCTGCTTAAAATGAAGTTTCTCATTTATGAGACTGCAGTCTGGTGATGCTATAATTCTATCATGCTGCTTGCCTGTTCTTCATTGAAAAGATACACACCAGATGACATTTCTTTAGGGCTTAATGAAATGGTACTGTCTTTATTTAAAATAGTGAAAGAAAAGTGTAAGAATAAACTGCCATTTCCTTTCACAGTAAAGGTAGGAAGGCATGTGGCATAGAAATAAAACCCCTTGTAGTATATTAGAATATTTCAGAAATTGTATTTATTACATGATGAAGTAAATTGCTTATCAGTCTCTTAACATAAGCAACAAAGCATTTACAGATGCACTGAATTTTTGCTGGTCCTCAGTATCTGCCAGCTGAAAACACAAGCCTGAAATGTCCAAATATTTCATGTCACTTTACTTAAAACTAATCAAACTAAATGACTAATTCCACTTTAAAAAAATTGCTGTTCATCTTGCATTCCTGAAGACCTGTCTCCAGTGGGGAGATAGAGAAAAGGCCCCTGCTGTGTGCACAGTGCCTGTGCAGGTGGAGTGACTCACCAGCTCCTCAGGGGCTGTGCCTAGAGATACAACCCCCTCCTGGCTGCACATTCATCAAGTGATTGCAAAGTAACCCAATCCCTTGCCCATTTTTGTCTGTAGGAAGTGCCGTATTTCATATTTCGGCGGGGGCTTGGTTCACCCATTGAAGTAGATTTGGTGTTTCTTTGTTTATTGTTGGTGCTTGATGATTTGGGTTTCTTTGTAATGTAAGACTGCTTCAAACAACTGTAATTGAAAAAAGTAATTCATGTTGATGATCAGAAATGTGTGAGAGCTGTGGATTATAGTAAGGGAGACTTGAAATGGGAACTGTAAGGAAAGTGCAAAAGGTTCCTTTCATATTCATTACTTTCCTTAAAATTCGTATTTCTTACAGTTGCATATATCATTATTGTTTATTAGGCAGCAATACGGAAAGAGCTGAATGAATTTAAAAGCACAGAAATGGAAGTACACGAGGAAAGTCGGCAATTTACCAGGTGGGTGAATCCCTCTTCTTGCATAAGTGTGAGACATGGGCATGACAGCAACCCTCTGCCTTTCTGCAAGTCCTCTGCAGTTGTGTCATGATTTGTATGGATTCCTACCATGAGTCCCCTTGAATCTCATCAGTGATTCTGTTAGAATTCCCAGTGATTCTGTTAGAATTCCCAGTGTTGCTGATGCCATCTCTAGTTGGTACAGCAGTGAAGGTGACTGCAATGGATTGGTTGCAGAGAAAAAGATTGTTTGGGGCATCTAAAAAATAGTCCTTTGAAAGAACTCAGTGGTTCTCACAGATAAAGTTAGTAGTCCTCAAGCACACAAAAATAAAGGGATTTCCTTCTCTGGCAGCACTCCCTTGCTCATGAAAGTATATATTTTTGTAGATGCATTTGCTAAGTGAAAACTAGATGATGTGTTGAACTTCAGAAAAGCTCGCCAGTGTTTTGACAAGCTTTCTAAGGGTCACCTGGGCGCCTGGCAGCAGTTTCTGGGGAACAAGATAGATTCCCTTTTTGCCACTTCTTATCTGTTAATCTGGATTTGTTTTGTTCTCTGCTTTGGATAACACCAAATTGTTGTCTGAAGCATTATTGTTTTCAAGAGCTCTGAAGTGTCCATAGTTTTTAGCAGGCCTTAAAATTTGGCAGTTATTCCTAGGGGGAGGGAAACATTTCCTGTCATCCCCGTGGCATGTGTTCATGCTTCTTGGAAGTTACAAAGGCTGAAAACGGATACCAGCAAGCAAAACTTGATGTTAGGATCAACCAACATTGCGTACACAGTATTATTGTCTTTGCTTCTACAGAGAATTAAGTCAAATAAAAATAATTGTCTAAGACTGCATCCTTTCTGTTTCCTGTTACTGTTTCAACTAAACTCAGGATCCAAGCTAGGGATCCTAGTGTGAACCTTCTAATTTAAGAGTGTGTAACAGGAAAATTCAAAATGGGATATGGATGTTTCGTGCCTCATCTGCTTCGTTGCCTGATTTCACAACTTCAGTGATTCCTTTCTCACCAAAACATGGATATTTTTTTTAATAATAATGTAAAGTTACTTCTGTGTAGATACAACATGAACAAAATCATTTTCAGAAAATCAAACCAGTTTCACAGGCAGCAAACCTAAGCCAGGAGATGAACCAGGAGGCAAGGTTTTAATTTAGTGTCACATTCTGACCATTAGAAAATGTACTTTTCAAACATGGAGATGTATATTTTCATTTGGCTTCTGATGTAATTGTCTCTTCAGCTACTAGGTAGTGTATCTTTCTCAGAATATATAAAAATACTGCTTTTTTAAAAAAGGACATCCCAAGGTAGAGAATAAAAATAGCAGGTATAGAAACCAACTCCCTGCTTACATTGTTGTGTTTCCTGAGTTGCACTGCAATATCGAAGCATAAGTAACAGATAGGCATGAGTCATACAAAAATAATGGGATATTTTTTCATGAGGTTTGAAAACAGTTGAGACTTATTACAATTGGATTTTGGAAAGCTGAACCAGGAATCCAGTGGAGTGACAAACCAGTTAATTTTTTTTTTTTTGAGGAGGGCCTTGGAAAATGGAGCAAAAAATAGGCACAGCCAAATAATGGTAAATATAGGCAGTGGTTCCATAGGGTCCCAAAAGAATTTCAACATGAGAGAAGTCAGGTTCTCTGTTCCCTCTCCACCCTCCTTTGTTTCACTGATCATTTTGTGGAGTCACTGCACGGAAGTCAGAAGAGTAACACTAGAAAAAGCTAATTAAGAGCAAAATAAGGTGCAGATGTTTTAAGTCAATTGCAATTTCGAAAATAAAAAGAGATCCCATTTCCTCTGGGACCTCTCATTAAAAATTATGTAGTTTCTGCTACATTTGGATTGATAAAAAAAAGTGATTTAAGAAAACCATAGACAGAAGCCTCTAGGTAGAGAGATTGATTCTTTCCAAGGAGATCACTGAAATAATGCAAACCAAAAGGCACTTGCATTGGCAGCTGGTTAACAAAGCCTTTTTCATAAAGTTCTGTGATAGAATGAGACAACAAAGCTGCTTACTAAACAAAAAATAGTTTATAGGATATGGTTTCCTATATTATTACAGATTAAATATAAGATGCTTTAATATTCTAATTAGTACTTACAACATATTTGAATTGTTAAAATTTTATTTTAAACATGGAAAATTAAAATTGTTCATCATTTACAGCAATGACTGTCAGTTTAACTGTTTTTCTACTTCTAGTAATTTAGACTGATTCTTTCTGTTATTTCATGGGAGAATCCAAGAAACCAAGTTTCTAAAAATAAATAAATAGAAGTTTGGAAAGAGGATATTAGTTAATGAAGTGTTTCTAATGGAAATGCTATATATAATCCACTATATCGTTCAACACAAATACAAAAACCCCTGTCTTTATTGCAATCCACTGTACCTTCACTTAGCAGATGAGCTGCATACTTATGAATGTCAGCTTTTGTGTACATCTCCTTTATTTGAGAAATGCATCCCTGTATTATACTGAATCAGCTTGTAATGTGGGGTAATGTGTGGCTTGTTTTCTCTTCTCTGGAACTGTTAAGAGAAAATGTGTCAAACAAAAACTTAGGTAAATCCACTGTATTACGTGCGTCATCACCTGTGCCTTTTTTCAAGCTGTTGCATATTTTACTACTTCATGGACAGATACATTTTATAAGCCATTTAAAGAGATATTTATGTCTGGTGATAGATACATTGAGAACCTGATACTGGTGTCCTTCTTACCCTTTTGCTTGGATTCATTACATTTAAGATGAGTTAGAATTTCAATTGCTGTAGGTTCCTAACTTATTGTAGAAAAGGTTGGTGACACCTTTTAGAGCAATCCATCTCTCTAGCCATCATACAGGCAATCTGGAGCAATGTACATGCTCTACTTAAAAGCCTAAAAAACAGTGAGATATATTTGGGCCTTCATGTGCCTCAGCTGATAATAGGAAGAAAGCATCTGCAGTGCTATAAAAGTTGTTGCATACTTTAAAAAAATGCAACCTTTTTTTAGCCTTATTTTGCACAAGGATTAAAGCCCAGAAATTTAAGTCTTATGGTTTATCAAAGCTTTTCCCATAGTAGCTACTGTCATCCAAGTAGTGGATGCAATTATGGCTAAATCTATACTGGCAAACAAAACAGACTGGACACTGTTCTCTGGCCCTGAGGCAGGCTTGGCATAGCTTGAATTCATACAATTAACCTATCCCTCTCACCCCAAAACAGGGCAACGTCCCCCCATACCCAGCTTGCCTGTTGTCCTGTGCTGATGCCAAACACACCCAGGCAGTACCTGAAAAAGCTGGTTGACCCAAGCCAAACCATGCCAGGGACCACAGTGACAGGTTAATGGTATGGACAGACAGTGATACACCAGTGCTTGAGCCACACCAAATCCCTGTTTGGTTTTATAAGTAGAGACAGATGGACAGCAAGTGATAATAGGTGTGCCTCTAAACCCACACAGACCAGGAAAATCAGGAATAATTCCCTTTGGGCCAAAAAAGTAAACAGCTATGAGAGCAGGATGAGGATCAGGTTCATTTTCAGTTGAAATAATATAATTCCAAGTTTTTTAATTTATCTTTTCAGGTTTCATCGTCCATAACAGTTTGACCACATCCCATATTTCATGTAACAATTTTCTTTTGGGAAATCATTGCATCCTGAAGACCTGAGATTGCACTGGAACTTAAGTATGAGTGTGTGCTACAGTTTACCCTCACGTTAATGAAGAAAGTGGCCCTCATCTTTATCAATGGACAAATGATTTGTCGAGGAGGAGAACTCACGTGAAGCATTTGTCCATGTTCAGCCAGACCACAGTCTGTGGCTACCCCACACAGACAAGTTGGTGGACTTCTTCATCAGAGTCAGGAAGTGCTGAAGACAATCGCTTGAGAGCCTGCTACCAGGAACTCATCAGATTTCATAGGGTTGTGACTGAGGGTAACTACGAGGGAGGGGGTGTGTGAAAAGGACTGAGAGCTGGGGGAAGAGAGTCTTCGCTTGTCAGTCCACAGAGAAAAGTGGAATGGATGGAACTGCCTAATGATGCACAGTGGGAAGAATTATTTAAAGGAAAAAAAAAAAGAGTGTGTGAGCAACTGTGCATGTTTTTTTGGTTTTTTTTAGTGGCTGCAGCCTGTCTTAAAAAGACAGCAAACCATAAGACCTCATGTTATCAGTACTTTAGTGAAGAACTGTCATTTTCTTTGGTGCCAGTAAATACAGTTGCCAGAAATTAGTCCTAGTATAACTCATCTGTCTTTTTTAAAATCCCAATGTGCATGCTTCAGGAAAATACATTGAACAAGCCACATATTTTTTGTTTTTTAATGTTAACATACTCTGGATCCTCAGAAAGACATAAAGAGGATTTGAAGTTTGATAACGTTCAATGAAATGCTTCATGTTTAGAAACACTCTCTGCTGTCACTTGCCATTCAAACCAGAGGGATCATTATCTTTCTCATCATGGCAGGCAGTGGTGACCTCGACATCATGCCAGCATGAATCCAAAAGCAGAATAAAATTAGGCACAGAAGTCTTTGCTAGTATGCTTGAGGAGTGATTACTAATGTGACTTTTTCCATTTAAGGACTCTTGCATTGCTTTGAGGAAGAACTCCCAGATGATCAGTATGTCTTCAGCCAGTGGTCCTGTAAAAGTGAAGGAAAATCCTTGGAGTGTCTGCAGCCTGCTTTTGTTCAGTGTGAAGAATGCTTCTTAGATTTGTAATTTTTTATACTATCTTGAAATAGTATATGTGAATACAGTACTATTAAAATTAAGTGGTATGGAGTGTGAAAGGCAATACATGATTTTTCTAAGTTGGCCCAAAGGCCCATTAAAAAGCCCGTGGCATTGTTTACACTAAGAAATTTTCTGTCTTATATTAGCACTTATTTATCCTTTGATTAACGTACACAACATTTGGGGGGTGGGTCTGGAATTCACATATGCATACTTTTAATGCAGTATTACAGTATATTTGCTATTTATCCTTTCTAATGTGTGTACATATTACAATTTATTTTTGTCTTTTATGTGCCCTGTTCAGTTTTTAATTATGAAGTGTAAGTATTTCCTTTTCTGGCAATAAAAGATCTGTGTAGATGTGATTTTTACCTCAGTAAATCTGCAATAGATTCTTGTGGAATGTTTTTAGTTTATAAAATTGAAGGTTGTTGTTTCAGATGTCAGCCTAAAGGCAGAAAGGCGATTTGGTGGCTAAAATTAGATATCCCTCTTCAGTGCTATTTACAACAAGACCAGGTTTGCATAAATGGGGTGGATTATTTTAGCAAAGAGCACTTCTAATAACAGGAGAGTGTGTTCCAACAGCCGTCACTCTATTATTTTTAAAGAGATTGGTAAACCATTTTTAAAGAAGATTTTTATGACGTTAGGATCCCTTACATTTTAGTAAAAAATCTAATGAGGTACAAGGCCCAAAATATCAATAACCAAATAAAATAACCATCTACATGCTTGTAGCAAAGAAAAGCAAGCAGCACCTTCCTTTTTTAATGGAATCAATAAGAGCCATTAGGATTCCATTTGCAGAAAACAGTTTAGCTTCTGGGAGGCCCATCATTTTAAAAATATAGAAACACTACTTTGACATCAAGGAAGCAGTGAAAATGTATTCTTTGGCACTAAATCATGCAGGAATTATCAAGCCATTAGAGTTAAGGTTTGTCAGCAATTCTGGTACAATGCTAATTTTTATTTTTAGAATTTGATGAGTAAACTTAAAACTTACACTGTAATAGTTCTGCTTAAACTTTTTTTTTTTTGCTGATGTTGCCAAATTTAGAAATGTGTGTCCAAAATCATATAAAGGTCTACTATGTTGACTTTGAAGTATAAAACACAGTATTTCACTTCAAAGGAAACAAGTGAAGCAATTAAATAGACCTCAGTGTTGCCTTAATCCCATCAAAACACTTGAAAGCAGCCAAGATACTAAATGCAGAAGGATAACTGTTGCACAGGCAGAATAACTTGAACAAAAGTAATGTAAGACTATATATACTTTATATAAGACAGTAGCTCCTCTCACATGCCAGGGTACATATGGGTTACACAAGCAAAGTAAAACTTGTTCAACTCTTAGGATGAAGTTAAATACTTGACTTTGCAAGAACATATTCCTCTATTCTAGGCCTGGAGCATGGATAGAAAGTTATGTGCTGCCTTTTCATTTTAATAGTTAAAATGCAAAGGTGAGGATACCACTTCTGGCTTAGACTTCTTCAAGCTGCAATATGTCATAAGAAATGAGGATACTTAGGTGAGGTATCACTTAGGCTTTTCCTATCCTCCTTCGGGGGTTGGAGGTTTTTTTAAAGTATTCACTACAAGCCATTGCTAGAGGCAGAACACCAGCCTCGATGGAGATGCTGAGTTAATTTTTAATTTCTTTTTATTTTTATGATAATCAGATGCATTCTTTGACCCACAATTCAGCAAACTAATTAAGCAAATTTATGTAAGTGGACAAAGGGATTTGCCTTTATTGAAACTTATATAAAAATGTAGTATGCTTGCAGAATTAGAACTATAAACTATCCATTTTGTATTATACCCACACACAGACATAGAATTGTATATACTATTTTTATATTCTAAAGATCAACTGGCAGAAAAACAACAGCTGGAAAGTGTTATCCATGCAATAAAAAATAATGAGAATTTGGTATGTCACTATGAGAAGTGAAGCAAGTTTGCTTTACCTTATTGAGCTGCCTGAAGTCTGTTTCTGCTGCATCTCCTAGCCCTCCGTATCGATGATTTGAAAAGTCTTCAAGTTGCATCAACAGCCCATTGGAAATAATATGCCATATACTTGTCTATGGGGCCTCATGCCTGTTAGAAGATAAAAATCAGGATAAGTCCTGAGAAATTAATAAGTGAGTAATCCTTGAGGAAAAAATAAAAATATGCTGAAAAGGCAAAATAAAAATAACACTTTCCATGCGACACATAGTATAGTCCAGCTGGTTAATGGGGAGCAGTATGTTAATTTTTATCAAACTGGACAAATAATTTAAATATCATCCACAACATATGACCAACCTTACACGTATTATACCTGATGTTCCACAGAGTCATATACGAACTCAGATGTCTACAGCCATACAAAGAGAAAATTAGTAGCTTGAAGTAGTGGTTTCTGAAATTACCTCATATATCACATTTATCAGTAGAATCATGCATCATACCATGTTGCTGTGGGTGCAAAAGAATGGATGCTTAATCAAATCCTAATTTCTTCTTCACAGAAAAAATGTAAATGATTCTACAATGTCTCTTGTCTCTCTCCTTTCAGGTAATACATATTAGTCTTTTTAGCTGAAATACAGTCTACATGAATTTTCTCAAATTGTAATATATATGTTGACTCAACAAGTACAAAAAAAATTAAATGCTAATGATTACTTAAGCTAAATACCATTTCAACTGGTGATTTGAAACATGTTAGGACCAGGAGCACCATCTCTTCAAAATCACTGAAAGTATTCAGAGCCATTTGTAGGTCTACAACACTGCATTTATCTGTTGAGTTTATCATTTACCTACAGTTGTCCATGTCCCTTGCTGTGGTGGCCTTTCCTGACCTCTGATGTGGTGTGGGGCAGGGCATACCCACCACCTGCTCTGGCCACACTAAGTACCTCTTAGAGGAGCACCATAGCCTCAGTGTTGATATGTAAAAACCTTATCAGGTGACCACTTCTTATTTTTTAACTTGAAAACAAAATGAAAGCTGTGAAACAAAGGCATTAAAGTATCCCTGATATTAAGAAATTAGACCATTAGATCACTCCTTCCAGGTGAGATTAGTGCTTTGTTTCCTGCAGAAATGCTTCAAACTCAGAGCTGTAACAAGTACTACTACAGCTACATCAGAGAATTTGTTTCAAAACAGCAGTCAATTAACCTGACTATAAATTTAATCTGAGCCCTAATTTTGTATCATCATAAAGTGGGAGGAAGATCCAGCCAGCACAGACTAAAAATGTCTAATCTAGTCTGGCAGCCTGGGAATCAGCTGAAATCCCCTCATCGGCTGCAGCCGGCAGGGGTTGGAGCCAGGGTAGGAAGAGCCACACTATCACCTGGCTACCTAGCAGGACAGGTCTGTGTGAACACTGCTGGCATACTAAGCAGGGACTAGAATATCCACCCATGTTTTAATGTCTGTTAATCCTTTAATGATAAAGCAAACCAAGCTAAAAGCCTACGTTTGCATGAAACTGTCAGGCACACCCAAACTGCATCTTTTAATGCTTTCACATCATCTCTTTTTGGTCATTTCTTAAGGAGTTAAGACCTATGCCACTGCTGCAAACTAAAATAAAAACATACTCAGGGTGAAAAAAAAGAATAAACTTGCCTCCTGCCTTTACGGGCCACATTTAGTTCCATTATTGTTTCTCTCCGTATTCTTACTGTACAAAGCTCAGTGCAATGCTCACTGCTGGGACCTAGATTTTAATAGAAAAAGTGATTCTGAAAGCTTTTATTAGCTTGATGCAAAAATATTTTGAGGATCAAATTTTAAAAAAAAAGAAAAAAAGTAAATTCTCCAGAATAGCTTAAAGCTTCTATTTAACAGAAATCTGGGAAAAAAAAACAACACCAAAACTCATGGAAGCATATGTATAGAGAGAAAGGGAGAAAAGGAGTGAAATGAACATATTTTGCTGTAATATTTCTATTTATTAACTTTAATAATTAATAATTTCTTGTTTCACTTTGTCAGTTCACACCTTGTTTCAGGTTTTTAATGGCAATAGAGCTCATATGAACTAGATACAGCATATCACCAATATTTTCTAGGAGGTAAATATTGCATTGGATAGAACTGAAGAAAGTAATGGTATTCCCTGTATCTCCTTGTTCAATCATTAATTCTTTATATTAAAAAAGTCTTTCAATACTGTGTCAAATTCAACAATATTTGAACATTGTTATGATATAGTAAAATGTTGCTGAACAAATCTCTTCTTTCACTACTTTGTGTGGTGGTATACCGATTTGTAAACTTGCATAAATTTTGGAATTAAAGAAATACTGTGTTTTGGATTATTATTTTAGCGGGTGTGATTTCAAACAAAAATATATAAATGACTTGACTGAATGGGACTGTGTGTGCAAGGTGGGAAGGGTGTGGAGATGGCACGTGCTTAATTGCCTGCAACCATTTAAATAGCTTTTAAGACTTTTTTTTTTCCCTAAAAGAGAAATAGAATTCCATTTACAACCAAACTGTAAATCTGAGAGAGGCACAAGAATGCTGTAGACCACATTGCTGTACGCTCAGGAGCTAATAAATTGCATCCTCTCCCAGCATTTTACAGAATAGCTCGAACAGTAAATAAAGACCTTATTAGTATGCCATGCTTTGTAGATCCAAATGTACCTTAAACACGGACCACTCAAGAAGATGTATGCCTTTGGTAGAGCTGCAATTTGCCAGGGCAAGGTACTACTCAGTAGCAGGAATTGTTGCACACATCTCTTCCAATCAAGTCCACATGGATACCTCTGAGAGACGACTCCAGTAAGGAAGGTTGATAACCCCTCCACATCAGTGTTCCAGTAGTGTCTTCGGAGGGCCCAGTAAAACCAGAAGATTCTTATGAGTTGAATATACTGTAAGGCACCACAATCACCTAAAATGAAATTTTCACGTGAATTCATTGGAATTAAAATTTTACAGCATGTAATGGAGAGTATCACCTGTTAATATGCACTGGAACAGTTCTTAGACTTTATTGTTTCTATTAGTTTGCTTGGAAATAGAAACAAACTATGCTCAAAGTAACTTGCTTGAATTTCATTAAATGTTCCTATTTACAAGTAAGCTAAGGCAAACAAAATTCAAGCCTTGGTTCCCCATTGCCTGGCATGCTAGATAGTTACTGGTAACTACACAAAATGTATCTGAAACATTTTCAGCTTAGAATTCCTGTCTCTTTAAAGTGTACTTTCCACATTTCATTACTTTCAAAACATGTAAAGCTGTGGAGAATCAATACCAATAACTTTTCAGCTTACGGAGGGCATATTTTACATAACAATTGTAAAAAAGATGCATCTACCTATACTTTGGTAACTTGACTCAGTGTGATTGATTATGGTAACTATAAAGAATTGACTGATCTGATACTGCATTTTACACAGGTGTATTGATATCTGAGAATATAAGTAACTGGAATACTGGAATTATTACAAATTAATGATAGCTGCTTCTTGAGGTTTTATCTGTAATGTATCATGTATATATATATATACACTATTATATATATATATATACATGCACACAAATATATTCCAATATCATCATCTGAAAAATATAAAATATGTATTGGGATTTTTATACAGTACATATATTAGGCTTGCATTATGGTGTTTTTATTTAACAAGAAAAAAAAAGCATGCTAATCAGTTGTACACTACTATAGGATAGTCTGCTTGTGCACAGTTCCAAGTGCCCTAGACAACTGTTTAGCTCTTTGAATGATAGATATATATGGATTAATATATACAAATAGAAAATTAAGAAAATTGCCTCAATAAAATTGTTCAGAAAATCTTTACAGAAAATATTTTGTTCTTGAATCTTTAGCATGTACATGGACATATATGAAAGACTTAAACTGAGAGACCAAATTAAAAACCCCTCTTCATGGAATTGAGATGAAGAAAGGTTCCTAAAATCTTCCTTTGAACTTCTGAGGTCCTTCAAACATATCTGGTAGCTCCCTCGTGAATGGTGTATTGTGTAGTGGTGTGTTCAATGAAGTGACACTTGGTATAAAAATAAAGTGATAGCTCAGTGATTCAGAGACCTAATCCATGTTCCAGTTTCCCAATTTTTTTTTATCATCAAGAAGTGGTTTTCACTAGTTCAAGTGTCATTGACAGTAGATTTGCAACAGAATTACACCCACTGCACATGGACAAAACTGATCTGCATAGTTGAGGGATCAACCTAGTCTGCAGTGTGTCTGCCAATTTTTTAACATTACAAAGTGACTGACAATAACTTTTGTTTTTTAATTACTTTGCAATAATTTCTGCTTTGCAAGAACTAAGACAAAAATATTATCATAAATTTCCTCACACGGAAGCAAGTTGATGATCATGTTAAGGATATGCTTCCAGCATATTATTTTTTAAGTGTCTGCCTTGACAGACCATTTCAATATTGACCATTCTTCTTCTGCAAGCATAAAAGAAATGGTTAGTAACCTGAGCACTTTTCCCCTTAGTCTCTGTAGATGCTCTTTGCTGAGTTTAAAGTGTGAAGAGTCTCTGCAAAGAAGCCAGTGAGAGAGTACAGTCGGATGGATGACCTTGTAAGGCTTGGATGAAATGAGAAGCTTAAGCGGCGTCTCCAAGAGACTCTCTCATATACATTTCAAATACATGTGATACTAAATTTTGAATTTTGATGTATCATAAATCAGTTGGAAGGAGACGACACCCTTAGGGATCAACAAAGGAGGCAACATGATGCTTATTATTGTTAATCCTTAATCTTAAAACTGATTTCCATATGTATTACTGTTTGTATACATTATCAATCTTCTGTGATATGGGAGGGAGCCTGTTGTTTTATTCTCTATGTGAACATATAAAACATATCCTTCCCCCTAAATGCTTAGAATCTAACCAGGAAATTCAGGGTGGGGATGCGAATGAAAGCAAGACGGAAAACCCTCAGACTTAATGAAACAGGTAAACTTAACTTACACATATGAAACAGCTGATAAGCCACACAGTTGAGAGCAAAAGCTCATTTTTCCCACTTCCAAACTGATACGATGCTTCTAGACCAGATTTGGGGTATATGGAATGACAGTACTGCCGTTATTAGATAGGGAGGTCACCAGATTTATGGGACTGTGAAGTGTAATCCTGTCACCAAGTCTATGTACAAGTATTTTGCACTTCTGTGTATGCCAGAAGCAATAAGGAGTAATCTAATCTACATCATCACCCCACAGACAAATGCTAAGCACCGTGTTTTCAACAGTTGCATGATTCTGGTCTTAATTACCTTGTGAAAAGCCAGCTCTGCTATTCTACCTGCCACTGGGTTTACAGAACAGACACACTATAGGGAGGAGTTTCTGCTGTGAGGTGCAGTCCTGAAAAACCTGCAAATTTGCAGCATGCAGTCAAAGGACACCTTTTTGTATCTTGAGTGTCTACTACAACCTGCAGATGGCAACAAGATGCTCACCATGTACTTTTTGCAAGAGGAAACTCTAGCCTTTGCAGTGATAAATCCAAAGCTAATTTCAACTGATGGAGCTGATCAGATTAGTTTGTGCACTTCCATAAGAGTGATGTGATGAAACCTGATGGTAAAGATGCAAAACTTCAGAAAATAACAGTTTTCAGTGTTAATAACAATTTCAGTGAAAATTTGGGTTCTTTCGGAGCTTTAGTGACACCTACTGAGAGCCAATGAAATCCACTCAAATATGACTGAAGCTAATATTTTAAGGTACACATATGCAAATATATTTAGTTGTATACATATACACGCATAATTTGGATAATTTTTCTGAATTTTCAGTAACAACCTCTTCTTAGCTGTTGTTATTTGCTTGTATGAACATAGGAAAAAACCCTGTCCCTTCTGTTTTACACTTTCTTTTTGAAATGTAACAAAACAGGTTTACATCATATTCCTAAAATACCAAGCATATTTTTCTCTTTCTTAGCAAAGGAGCCTGTATGTGCGTGCCTGTGTCTGTGCACAGCAGTGTCTGTGCACTGTGCAGCATAGGTAAAATTTCTACAGTTAATGTGTCATATCACAGAACCACAGAATGGGTCAGGTTGGAAGGGACCACAGTGGGTCACCTGGTCCAACCTCCCTGCTCAAGCAGGATCACCCTGGAGCACACGGCACAGGATTGTGTCCACACGGCTCTTGAGTATCTCCAGGGAGGGAGACTTCACTGGACAATCTGTTCCAGTGCTCAGTCATCCACACAGTAAGGAGGTTCTTCCTCATGCGCAGGTGGAACTTCCTCTGCATCAGTTTCTGCCCATTGCCTCGTGTCCTATTGCTCGGCACCACCGAAAAAAGCCTGGGTCCATCCTCCTGACACCCTCCCTTCAGATACTTATGGGCACTGATGAGGTCCCCTCTGGGTCGTCTCTTCTTTGAACAGGTCCAGCTCCCTCAGCCTTTCCTCATAAGAAATAAGAACTCAAATATAGCAAAACACTCTCAACATTACTACGTGTTATTTATTTCTCACCCTTCAAATTCAGACTCCACACCCCACACATTCCCCTAACCAAGCCCCGCCCTCCCCCGCCTCTTCCTGCGAGCGGCGGCACGGCCTCTGCGCATGCGCGTTGTCCCTTGGCTCCCGCATACCGCTCTGCCAGAGAAGCCGCTGGCGGGCGGAACCACTAGTTTGGGGGGAGAAACGGGAAAATGTGTCTCTGGCGGGCGGGAAAAAGCAACCTCCCTTGCGTTCACAGAACCTCTCTTTTAATAAAATACTGTTTCAGTCTGAGAAAACGCTCGTCGGTTGTTTGTTTTTTTTTACAGTGAAGAAGGAAAAACCCCAAACCTGCCCGGAGCGGCTGCCTATCTCATTCCCCCCGTTTGAGAGTGGTCTACTCCAACATGGTGGCGTGGGCTCGGCGGCGCTGAGGCCTGGCCTGCGTGGAGCGAGCGGGGTTGGGGGCACCGGGAGTGGCGGGAACGGTCCCCGCGACCGGAGGGCAGCGCCATGGTGAGTGGGTCGTGTTGAGTACTCGGAGCTACCGGGTGAAGAAAGCAGGTTAGAGTAGCCCCTAGGTTGCATATATCTGCTATAACGCGTTTTGGTGGGTAAGTAAAACCAGAAACCTTCATAAAAGCATTTCCCCGAGTCAGACGTGCTAGCCTGTAGAAAAGGCTTATATTTTCGATGTTAGAACCACGTCTGATTCTAGTCCTCCTGGCTGGTGTTGAATTGCTGGCGTAGGAACACTGTCCAGACAATTTTCCAGAAGCTAGGTGTGTCTCGATGAATTTCCTCATGTCGGTTT